AGCTCCCCTCATGTACGAGTTAGACAGTTTAATCACAATTTGAGCAGGAGATTGAAAATAGGCGTATAGATATTTTAATTTGTCTGTTTTGTAGCTAGCAGCACTGAAACTGTAATATATGTAGATGCAACAGTACTAAATATTGGCAGCAACAGCTTCAGCTTGTCAGTTGTTAGGGGGCTTCTAAAATTACCAATAACATTCTATTAGCAAAAGACAAATATTTGTGCAGCTAATTAGATTTAATTATAAGCAAATTTCAATTGTCAATTTCAATTTGGCGAATGCTGCGCGTATACGCAATATTAATGGGCCGCATGCCACAACGATTACGCCTCGTAAAGCGACATATATAAAATAGTAATAAGTAAGTAATAATAAAAGCAAAGCCAAGAGAATGAGACATTGAATTAAATTTTAAATTGATTTGGCGAAAATTAAATTGAATGTGCATGAAGAAAGTGTACAAATTAAAAGGCTGCGGGGCCAAAGTTGAAGCGAAATACAGCAAATAATAGTGACATGACGAAATACAATCATAATCATGGTGCAATGCAACCGCACAAAAACTTTCGCCATCAACAATGAGTAGTAGAAGCTGGGGCAGGAGGAGTAGGAGCCCAGTAGCAGCAGCAGGAGAAATGCAGAGCAAATAACAAGCAACATAATAGAAGAATAGTTGCTGCTGCTGCTGCTGCTGCAGTAGTTACTGAAAGAAAGACCAAGATACAAGGGAGACAGGGGGAGAATGGATACGACACAACCACAACAGAAATAATAATGGCATATAAATGAAGTAACAAACATTGTTTTCCTTTGACATAACTCATTAACCAGCAGAGGCCACAAGACGAATTGAGGCAAGCCCGAGTTGGAGGTGGAGCAGTTGCAGTTTGGTTTGTGGTTGAACGTGGGACGACTTATTGCTGGAAAACTTAGAAAAAGATTGGGCAAACTGACAACATGTAAATTAATGTATTGCAGCTGGTCGCCAGTAGAAGAAGCATCAGCGGCAACTGCAGATTTATTCTTAGCAGATTTTAATAGACCCAAAGCTAAAATTTCTTAATTAAAACAATAAGCAGGCAGGCTAGGGCTAGGGCTAGGCCACAAATGTCTGCAATTATATGTGCATGGCACACACCCAGTGAAGCAGCAGCCAGCCATAAGGCAACATCAACAGCTGCCAGTTGTGTGATGCTGGCGTGGCAAATCTATCCGCAGAAACGCGACCGCAACCACAACGCGGCGCTGGCTGGTGTCCTGTCAGCAATGTCGACGACACGACAGGAACGTCGAGGAGGATGCGCTCCTGTAAATGAAGAAATTCCGCTGTCGTCTGTTGTCTTCGGGGCTGTCGCCCGCGACACGTCGCCTGCTGTGCTCTGCCGCCTTATGACTAATGATTGAAATTTCATGCTCCATATGGGTGCGAGGAGTTCGCCAGTTGTCAGTTCATTTGGCTGCCATGATATGGCAAAAATTGTGAACGCAACGCTGCCGTAGTTAATTAGAGAAGAGTGTCGTTTCGCTTAACCAAAACTACGCAATTAAATGCTTGCTAGCGCACTTTTAGGCGTGTAAACACGCGCGCACAAACGCCGAATTCACAATTGGCAATCAGGAATTGGCAATTGGCTGTACGTGATTTAGCAAAACTTGAACACGCACACACACGCACGCACGAGGGGGCGTGGCCGTATAATCGATTTTCAAGTGCGAATATGGGCTGCCACGCCTAGCCAACTTTGAGGCGCTCCCCCCCTCCACACCTCCACACTGGCCATTGTCGGGTTTTGGGTGAGACGCCTAAAGTTATTTGCGGCCATTTTTTAATCTACACTTGAACGCCGGCCTAGCACGCGGCAGTATTTGCGCAACGTGATGAGATTTTGCGGTTGCTAACCAATCGAGGGGGCCTTTATTTACATTTTTCTCAGCTTTTGCTTATCGATCTCTGGCTTTAGCTTTAGCTCTAGCATTGGCTTTGGCTTTTTGCCCTGTTGCCTTGCCGCCGCTTGCTGCGCATTCGATGCGGTTTAATTTTTTACACCCAAAAGTAGACAACACCAAGGCGACAACTTAAACGTAAGGGTCCTTCCACAAGCAATAGCTGCCAGGCTCATAAGTTTACTCTCGACTGGCGACACAAGCCACAAAAAAAAAATGGTGCCATAAATAAGAAATGTTTGTCTGCCTCACAGACAAGTGGAACTTTATAACAATTCAATTGTTTCTTTAAAGAGACGACTTTGAGTAAAAATCATGAATCGAAGAGATGAGATAATACAAATTTGTTGTTTAAAAAGATCAGAAGAAAATTCAATTCAATTGAATGGCGGTGATTAAAATGCAATTAAATTAAATAAATCAGAAGAATAAAATGTAATTGAATTGTAGCTAGTAATGTCAATTGAAAGTATTTAGGCGGCATCTACAACTTGCATCATTGAATCGAATTCCAATATAGTATAAAGCAACTCTTCGATATCTTCAATACTGTCTGGCTACTCCACGTAGACCGCATAGATGACCGACCATTGGCTTGGTTAACACTGTGGCTAGATTTAGGAATTGTTGCGCGTTCTCAATTGCTTTTTGCGAATTCGCTTTTACGTAGAAATTTTGCCACTTAGCTGGCCGTGGAGCATTGGTAAGCAGCTGCTTTTGTGGTTCAACTTGCAGTTCAGAGTCGATGTATGTATATGTGATTATACATAGAACTGTAGTCTACACTACGTTGATTCAAGTAAATGGCGCTAATGGCCGATCGAAGTCAGGCCGCAAAGCGTCTCCTCCGTCCACTTATCTGCATTTCAAGTGCATTCCGCACGGCAATTATTTTGCTCAATACCCGCGCACTTGACTTTAAATTGTCGCCGGCTGTGTCAGTCCCACCTGAACTCCCATCATCCCTTCATCATCCTTTTCGAGGAAGGGCTTTTGCCCTTACGATTTTAATTTGTCGCCCTGTGCCAATTGTTGAGCAAAAGTGGCTAATTTGAAATTCTTTTGAGCGAAGTGCGCACATTTGTGAATGCCAACTTGACGACGTCGTCAGCCCAGCAGCGCCCACCGGGGGATTGGAATTAGTAACTGGGACCTGAGAACTGGGAACTGGAAACTGGGAACTGGGAACTGTGAACTGTCTGTCGTCGCTGCTGCGGCTGTTGCTACTGCCTGGCCTTTGTCTTTGTGTCACGCGGCATGAAATTGAATTTTGGTCTGCAGCAGCAGTTGACTGGCGACGAAAGCCAGCCAATTGGTCCAAGCCCAGTCCCAAGCCCAGTCCCAAACCTCATTCACCTCCTTTTTCCTTTTCCCTCATAAGCCTTGCCTTCAATTATGGCTTACGGCCAAACGCCGCCATTTTGACACTCATACAGCGTAATTCGAAATGAATGAAAATTCTTTATAACTACCGTCAGTTTTTCAGCTGTTTTCTCAGTTGTTTGTGCTGTTGTTTTGTGCGCTTGAATTTCAATTTACATAAGTCTCTGCATCTGCACCCAGCACCAGCAACAGCACCAGACTATGGTCTCACAGTCTCATCTCCTTTCTTTGTTCAACTTTTATCTTAACTTTGTTCCTCTCGCTTTGCTTCTACTTTTTGTTGTCGGCTGGCTGCAAAACTTGAGTTGTTTTTGTGGTTAAATGTAAATTTTATTGAATTTAACTCTTTTGTGTCTGTCTGGCTGAGCGTTAAAGAGGAAATTGCATAATTATGCCTAATCTTGAGACCTATAGCCGTGCCACTTTCAAAATATCTAATGCATAGCAACAAAAATCGACACCCCAATCGGTCGGTCTAGGAACTTGTCTCAAGCTGATGCTGTGGCAAAAAGTATTTTGTGGATTATTTAACGCTAAAAGACTGATTTTATCGCCCAGATTATTTGCTCTTATCCACACTGAGCGAGATAAATATGATATATATGTATATAAAGAAGGAGAGTGAGAGACAGAGAGAGAGAGATAGGGAGACTGAAATTTTTATCATTACATTTATGCAACATTTCAATCATTAATAAATCAATTAAAATAAATTGGAATTTTGTGCGCTGATGTTGAACGCGAAACGGTTTTTTCACGGCCCTTTCTTTTGATTGTGGAGACTCCTCTGTTTCACTCTGTGTGATGGGTTCGGTTCCATGCCATTTAATGCAATTACGCAAAGCTCTCTTGATATTATTGTTTTTGTTGGTTTTCGTGTTGTTGCTGATATAAATCAAAAAATGAATCATTTGACGCGCTCGACAGATCGACGAGCCCCGGCAACAACTTAAATTATTCATTTGATTTACAGCGACACAAATTTGTGGAATATAACCTGTGGGATACGAAGGGAAGCAGCAGCGTGGCCGTGATTTAAAATGCATTTTTATAAGCAGCATACAAAGAATTATGTTTGCCAGACTAACAGAAAGTAGTAGTAGAGAAATAGTTGGCACAAAACATCCTTTTCCCTATTCTGGACATAAAACTCCTTTCAGCGCATTACAAGGCAGACATGTCAAAACTTGTACGACGGCTGTCGTTGTGCCCAGGCATAAGGCAGAATAAGAGGCGCACAAGCGATGGCGACTACGGAAACAGGAAGCAGCAGCAAATCCCTACACTCGCATACACTCGCATACACACACACACACACACACACACACACACACACACACTTTTTGGCACATCAATACGCGGAGGGTTAGACATAAGCGTTAAGAGCATTAGAACTTTGCCTTAAAGTACGCAATCCTCCCCCCTCTAATAGATACCAAACGCAAACCGCTGACTTTAAATCAGGACTATGACTAAGGCCAACACCCTGTCACATTAAGCCGACAATTGCTAGCTTGCCCTTAAGTAGTTCATAGACAAGAAGAAGCATACGAATAACTTTTCAATGGTATTTTCAGGTGTATGATTCAGGCACACAAGACATTCCAGCACCAGCTTATATGTAAATATATATTTTGTAAAAAACCACAACCAAAAAAATAGTAAGCCTAGCTCTCGTAGCGAGTGGTCGTCGTAAATTGTGTCGTAGTTTCTTCAAACTTCCCCTGCTCCATGTTTAATTTTTCATTCAGAATCTTCTGTTTGCACTCGTGAATTTTGTGGGCAGTTTCGCACTTGTTTGCGCTGCGTAGTGAATGACAAGCGTGCTGAGACAACCAGGTGGGATTACTCAGCTCCGACAGACGACCAATTAAATCTTGCTCCACGAAGACCCCGTCATGCATCAGACCCATTTGCTCATATAAACAATGGGTAAAGCATTGAGTCGCCTCCGTGACATTGCGGAAGTCATCACTGACGCGGAGCGTCCTCGATCACAGTGAGCGCCAGATTCGCTTCGACCTTGGCATACCGCGACTAGTATGGGACGAAAACAATCATATATATGCAATACACTACTACTAAAATCCAATTCTTTTCAAACCTCCGCACCGACAAATAGTAGACAAATGACTGTCAGCAGATAAAAATTGCTCATAATAAAGACTGTTTCAAAACTGACCCTAAAATCCGCTGAAATACACACGTTTATATAGTCTGAATACAGCAATTTGTTTAATCATGTCATTAGATCTAGTACTAATTGCTACTATCAATTCAATGAGCCGCATAAGCCGCTTAGTTGAAAATTTGCTTTTATTGCCATTGCCAATAATTTTACAAGTTTGCTGCACGAAAAGTTCAACCCGCAGTTTTAATAATGCTAAGTAATCGAAGGAACGAACCCAAAATCAAATTGATGCCAATGTCGATACTTGGAGAGCGGCTTCAAAAACTGCTGCGGCTTGAGCAAGTTTCGCAAAAACTTGCCATAACATTAAAACAAAAAAATGAATTGAACGAAAATGCATTTAGGGGCACAACGAACCAGGATTACACTATCATTAGAAGATGTAAACTACATTTGAGTATACCAAAGATTTGAAATTGATTGATTTCGTTTCACAGCTGAGCTATCCTTTAACCCAAGGACATAACAATAGCTGCAACAATATTACGGCGGATTTTGCTTCAACAAACTGCTTGCATATGTATATTTAAATATGAATGTGCACATACAGATACATATATGTGTGTGTGTGTCTGTATTGGAATACTTCCGCTGCGGCTGCTGTTGGTGCTGTTGCAGCTACGGGGGCTGCGACTATTTCCGCTGGTCACATTAACTGCTGGCGCATAACTTTTCCAATTTGCTTTTGGCAATTATTGATATAAGCCAGCGGCAACAACACTTCAGCTCAGTTTTTCTCTAGCCCTCTCTTTCTCTCTCTCTTTGGCATTTGAGTGGTATGTGAGACGGCCTCGTCCAAGCATATTTTCTTGCATTTTGCGCATATTTGTGCAACATTCTCGAAATTCTTCAACAAAGTTTTGTTATTATTGCCGTTTTGCTCGAGAGCCGAGAGCCGAGAGTCGTGAGTGCAGACTTGGTTTGGTTCTGACTGCCACTTTGATTACTTTTGCAGTTGCCGTTGCAATTAGTTTGTTCATTAGACGAGGCAGGCAACAAACAGCCCATGGCGAGATATAGGCAGGAAGAGTAAGAGCTGCAGCTAGCCTTGAGTTGATTGGAATTCACACACTTAATTAGTTGCATGCCCAGTTAATTTCCTCTTTGTTCCTGCCACTGTAGTTGCTGATTGCGAACAATTTTTGCTACAATATATCTTTAAGATGCACACGCTGCTTGTTGACGATGCAAATAAGTTTACAAGCGAGTAACATAGCCAGAGTATAAGGTTGAATAAAGTGATTTTCTGACTGTTTGGCGATGCAACCATTTTTGTAATGCTGCCAGTCTGTAAGCCCTGAAATCCAATACAGCTTTGAACTCGTAGAACTCTTTTAATGTTTTAGCCACAACGATCTGCACAAGCTTGCCCATATGGCATAAGCCCTGGCCCTGGCCCTGGCCCTAGCCCGGCCCTTCTCCTGCTTCGAATGGTGCTCCTGTTCGTGTCTCTTGCTGTGTATCTATTACACTCTACACATATTTGTTGCATAATACCAACTTATGCACTGGCACATTGTTGACCAGTTGTCCGGTATTCTGAGCCAAATCTCCTTACTCTGTGCCCTTTCGTATTTGCATTATTTCCCGATAGTCTAATGCCAAAGCATTTTGGTTGAAAAATCTACAATTCCGCATGCCGCAAAACAAAAGCAAATGCCAGAGACAAACTCGTCAAGATGAATGACTGTAAGCGAATCCAGCGATTCCTGCTTGCATACCAGCATTACTCCATGTCAGTAGCCAGCCTGCCCGAGAGCCTGCACAATTCAAATTGCACATGTCCAGCCCCAAAAATAAAACAAAAACAAAAACAAAAAAGCAAAAGAAATCCAACGAGTATGTGACTTGGGGCAGCTTCTCTCTGCGCTGCTTGGAAAATTCTCAAGTAAATTTCATTGAATAAGGAATAAATAAGTAAATACTTGAGATAACTCTAAGATTCTCTCTCTCTCTCTCTATGCTGTGACAATTTTCTGCGGCGCTTTCAATTTAATTTTCCCCCCCATTTTTACCATTGTTAGAAGGTTGTGTGTAATTTAAAATCACTTCAGCATGCAAAACACATCCACTGCTGCATTTAGGCGCTTTCACTTACCAATGACTGAAATCAAGTAAAGGCAAATCCACACAACTAGAGAATGTGTGGTCAACCCAAATACAAGTATGACATTCGAGGCATCAACGTCGAAACGTCGAAACGTCGAAACGTCGACGTGGCATCGCAAGCCAAGTAAATAAATGTTCGAAGGCAAAACTGAAACGTGACAAAGTCAGTTGACAAAGCGTGCGGTAGCCCACATAATAAATACCTATTTTGTAGTAATAAAAGAGTGGAGAGAAGTGATGCTGGCTGGCGTGACAAGCCGTGTCATTTTGTGTATTGAATTTTTCAACGTAATTTATATTTTACTCTTCGTTTAATTTTGATGAACGGTTTAAAAAAGAGTGAGAACAAATCGCAGCAACAAAACTCTAATACCCTTTCCAATGATATGGAACGGGGAAAAAAAACGGTTATCAAAATGGCATTCCCAAGTGAAACTGAAGTAATTATAAATATTTATTCAAGAAAGTACTCACCTGTTTAATAATAGCTTTAATTTCTCTCGCATTCTCTTCTTATCAACATCATGTTTGGTTGTACATCAATGGAACACTTATTTTTACCGAACGAGGGCGAATCTACTTGACAGAAACAGCTCGAACTTATCGCGATTGTCGCCCGATTTAATTACACTAAGACCACATTTGCACTTAAACAATAACAAACAAAAAATAAAAGGGCACAACTAAAATGCAACTGCGTTCGCAACATCAACATTGCCGGCTTCTTGCATAAACGCTTTTGGCTGGATAACGGGATAAGCTTTCTATGTGGATCAAGCGCGAAAGCTCTCCAATTTATTTTCAATGAAAAAGCTCAACACAAAAAAAAAACACTTTTTAGGCGACACGTAATTTTAATTTCACGGCGGTGAAAGGAAAGGCAGCGATGCTTTGAAATTTAATAGACGAACAAAATATCAAATTAAGTAATAAATATTTCTTCTTTTTATTACTCAATGTAATTAAACCGAGGCTTAGACCGATCAAAAAGGCACACGCGCACATACAAAATTATCTTATTAGGCTCGCGTCGACACTTTGCACAAAAAATGCAAAAAAATAAATAATAAGAAGAAGAACAAGAACGCACAATACACAACTAAGATAACGGGATCGGCTTTTTTTCGGCTGAAGTGCGCCAATTTACATGTTTACAGCGAACAAGCTCAGCGCGACACTCATTTTATTGGAAATTTAACAGACGAACTAAGTATGTTTAAAACTAGACTGAGATCAAAACGACTAAAGCTACACTTGCCAATAACTAGTCCGATCAAGAAGGCAGACGCAAAAAATAATAAGAACGCGCAATGCACAACTAAGATAACGGGATTGACTTTTTTCGGCTCAAGCTCAAAAGTGCGACAATTTATTTTTAGCGAACAAGCTCAATATATAAATATTTATTCTATTTATTACTCAATGTAATTCAACCGAGGATTCGACCGATCAAGAAAGCAGACGCTCACAGACTAAATTATCTTATTAGGCTCGCGTCGACACTATGCTGGCATTTGCTGTGAAAAAATAACAAAAAAATGCAAGAAAAATAAGAAGAACGCGCAATACACAACTAGGATAACGGGATCGCCCTTTTCGGCTCAAGTGCGCCAATTCATTTTCAGCATTAGCATGGCACAAATACGACACTCATTTTAACGATAAATATTTACATATATATTCTGAAGCGGTGAACCGAGGGTAGAGAGGCAGACGAACTAAGCATTCATTCACTAAGCCGAGATAAAAACGACTCTAGGTACACGTACCAATAACTTGACCGACACTATGCTGGCATTTGCTATGACACAAAAAACGAAAAATGCAGCAAAAAAAATTATAATAATAAGAAGAAGAACGCACAATACACAACTAAGATAACGGGATCGGCATTTGCTCTGAGAAAATAAAAAAAAAATTCAAGAAAAATAAGAAGCATGCGCAATACACAACGAGGATAACGGGATCGCCCTTTTCGGCTCAAGTGCGCCAATTCATTTTCAGCAAACAAGCCTAGCGCAAATGCGACACTCATTTTAACGATAGATATTTATATATTCTGAAGCGGTGAACAGAGGGTATATTGAATATTGGAAATTTAGCAGACGAACTAAGCACTTTTAACACTTGGAAATTCACTAAGCCGAGATAAAAACGACTTTAGGTACACGTGCCAATAACTTAACCGATCAAGAAGGCAGACGCTCACAGACTAAATTGCTCTTTCTCTCTCGCCTACGCTTCATCGAAACTAAGATAACGGGATCAAAAGCGTTATGACCAATAGCGTGAGCCCAGCAGACAGATAAAGACAGTTACTTTACCAGCTCCTATATTCAGTGTTGCTTGTTCAGCTATTTATTTAGCCGGAAACAATTGAAATTTTAAGCTGATTTAGCTATTTTTAATATTGTATTTAGCTACTTTTTTAAAGCGGCTTTTTGTTCTAGCCGAAGTCTGCACTGAAAAATTCAACAACTTGATGACGTGTCAACAGTGGAAGAATGAATGAATGAATGAATGAATGACCACAGCCAAAAATGCACTTAACAGGCAAACGCTGTTTGCAAATACAGTGCTGAATTTGGTTAGAAAGTATTAGAGAAATAATAAAATTAAGTTTTATAAATATACTATATAGTTCTAGTCAGAATTGTCGTGCATTTATTTTGTTCCTGTTTGTCGAATAATTGTATTAAAATTGGAATTTTTCAATTTGCGAAACGTTTTGGCAGACAACTGTAGGACTGTCAAATAGAAGAAAAGACTGAGCTGCCGGGCTCGGGCTCCTCAACTTCACTGAAGTTGTGGTGGCACGCATTGTTTGCGGGCCGGCATGTGCGACAACAACAACAACAACTTTCCGACGGGCCATGTGAGATCCGCAGACGTAGACTTTGCAAGCTGACTGTCGTCTGGCTTGGATTCCTTAACTGACTTTGCAGCGCGCAATTGTTTGATAATGACACTAACATGATGCTGTACTGACAACTAGGCAAAAGAAACCTACTTGCCATTTTTTTTTGGGCAAGGCCTCACAAAATTATATATGTATATACGAAAATTGTTTGTAAGCGGCAAAACGACTCTGCCTAGGCCGAATCTCGTTTTGGTTGGCGCTTGTTTAGCTGATTTCCACAGGCTGAGGCTCCGCTGCAAACGTTTGTAAATTAAGTTTTAAGCAACATGTCTGCAAAAATCATGCCCGAGGACAACAGCCCCGGCCTTTGTTGCCCTCGCCCATTCCGGCTCCTGTCGCAGGCAGTTGCAAGATTTCTTTTTATATTTTTTTTATATACATATATATTTTTTTTTGTATTCCTATTTGAAGAATGGAAATTGTGTTTTGTGTATTTGCTGCAGTGGTCGCAATCGTCGTCTTGCAGCAGTTCCTTGAGGAGCTGCTTCACTATTTTCGCATCATGCCTTTCGTTGCTTGCATTCTTTTTGTTTTATTATTTTTTATTGTATTTTACTCGCCGTGCTATTTACACTGCCACAGTCAACAGTCGGCGTCGGCAGTTGCTTTTCCTGTGCCTATTTATATATATGTATTTGCTGTACTTGCCAGGCATAGAACGGCGGCAGGTCGTCTCGACGCATTTGTAGTTGTAGTTGTATTTGTATTTGTATTTGTATTTGTATTTGTCTTTTAGTTTATTGTGCTGGGGCCACAAGAGCTACCAACTTAACCAGCAAGTTTTGTATTTGGGCTCCGTTGAGGCAAGGAATTCAATTTTAGAATCGCAAAGGACCCGGCTCTGGACTGACTAACTGCATTTGATTACAGTTCGTTTCATTTAAAATGATTTGCGCAATTGATCAGCTTACGTATGTCCGGGTCAGTCGGGGCCTAATTAATTCCACCAGAAATCGAGTCAAGTGCTCGACGGCAAGATGTCCTATATGAAATTATTCTATTGTATTCAGATGCTGCCCCCTCGACTTAATGCCTGTACATACTACACTACATTGTTAATAATAGTAAAAACTGTAATATATGTACAAGTATTTTCACTTTCGCACAACTTACAACTTTATTATACCCTACTGATGTACTCATTTTTGGTACAGAGTAACCTGTAGTAAAGCCAGCAACATTTAAGGCAACAAATTTAGTCTATATACAAATGCTGTTTAACAATAGCACTAGCTTAGCTTGGATGAACCGCCGGCAAACACTTGGCCAGCAAATAATTAAAACCCAACGAAGCTAAGCAGACAACCAGACAACAATTAAATAATCTTAACCCCACCAAAACATGCTTGAGCTTCAGCTAAAGATTAAACTGGTCCATACAACTGGTTAGGAAGTTGTTGCTATCAACTTTTGTGCTGTTGAGGTCGCGAAAGGTCATCCACCAGCTGCCGTATGGCCACTGTACAGCCGACAATACCGAAGACAGCACCTAATATTATTATCAAAATGTCACGTATTAGCTTCCAACGGAGTCGACCATAGCCAACATCATAGTTGACAAACATGTCAATCAGTGCCGGACATAACAGATTCAAATTGCACAGAGAAAATGCACCTTCCAGTTCGGTCAATGCGGCCAAATTGGGCACCACAGCAGCCACAAAGCCTAAGGAAGAAACTTGGAGCAATGCTGGCCATGTCAGACCATGTCAGACCTACCAGTGAACAATAGAAAGCAGAGGCGCACCAAGATTTCAAATACATAACGACGCTTGGGGTTTATGTCCTCCTCCGTTCCCCCCGTTCCATAGTCACTGAAGACAACGGTGATGAAAACAAATCCGTTCAGTGGATAGCTTAGAAAGATGCCCAATGCAATGGAAGCCTTAATGAGTTGAGAAAGGCTGAGGAAATTATATGTTAAGAAAGTAGACTTCTTGGTAGTTTCTACTAGTCAAAAAAAATGCGATCTACTTACACCTCATTTTGTGCAATATTCAACGTAATGCTAGCTTCGACATGCTCTCCGTAGCGCCAATAGCCCATGATTCCGAAAAATATATTTGAGAACAGTATGCAGAATACGGCCAGATTAAGCACACCAAAAAAGCCGAGATAGCTTTCTGGATGCGACATATTGGCTTCCACGACAAGCATCTGTGTGTATGTTTGAGCCCCAGCTGATTTTATATCTTATAAACGAACTATTTTACGCACCGAACCGACAGCTGTTAACGAGAAGGCTGCAATACCAAAGAACATCATCCAGTCCGTAGGTGGCTTAAACATTTCGCGCTCCTGTAGATTGGGCAGTCCCCGAAACAGATAATACATGATGCACAAGAATCCCGCATAGAGCAGAATGTTTGATATAATATTCAGAGGCACCAGAAACTTAAGCTTGCGTATCATAATGAATGGCAGCTGAAGCACACAGACGCAAAGCACGTAGTAACGCTCGTTATAGTCCTTAAGATAATAGTCGCCGATTTCTTTAAAATTCTTCGACACAAACACAATATAAACGCAGCAGAGACCAAACTGGCCAAAACCCAAAACACAACTGGTAACGAATCCAGCCGTGCGAGCAAAGCTATGAACGCAACCTGGTCCCAGCTCATAGGCAATACGCACGGCTTCCGGCATGGATACCTGCGGCACTTGGATGCGACGACAGCACTCGGTCATGCCAGTGATCTATGCGGGAAAGCTAAATGCAAATAACTCCAATTGGATCGTGCATAGGCAGCATATTCATAGCTGCACATACACACCAGCAAATGGATGCAATAGGTAAGCAGAATCATCAGCAACACAGAGAGCAGGGCGCCGGCCACAATGCCCGCGTAGCGAATGGCTAGCGGCATGGCCAGAATTCCAGTGCCTATCACACACTTGAGCAGGGATATGAATGCATCAAAATTGCTGTCGGAGCAGAAAAACAGGAGTCAAATCAGTAGCTGAGGCATTTACCTTCGATAACAGGCCAAAACCATACACAATGCTTACTTCAAGGGCACCAGAACCGTGCGTTTCTCGTATGGGTTGTAAATGTACAGCGAAGACCTGGAATGGCTGCCAGAGAAAAGTGCATCAAGTTTACAAATATGTGCTTATAATTAACGCCACGAAAATACATACAGGGCAGACGCCGGATGGGATTCCTCGGCTGCATTCGCCATTTGGGCTATACTTTGCTCGAAAAAGGGGGGATAACTAAAGTCGAGTTGTGAACGACAATTTTGATAACAAATTCAAATGAGTGTAGTTGTTAGTAGTTTTATGTCTCCACACACACATTCAATTCACTTTGCACTAATCAGTGTGCTCACAATCAAAATCAAAATGGCTGCACATGCGCGGCGCCCATTACCATAATATGGGCAAATTATTGCATACTTTGGAGCGAAGCTGTGCCGCATAAACTGCACCAACTCAGTGGACCCTGAGACAGTTTAGTTGCAAAGCCAGCGCCTCTGGCAGCAGACTTACAACAATTCGCAAAGCGACAGTACAGTGGCTATTAGGTATGAAAGAACCTAATCGAATAACAAAACTGCTAGTGGAGTTACTAAACAGGTTAACAGATAATGTACAAGCATATTTACTAATTGTTCTCTATTTTTTAATTAATTAGTAATACTTTTATAGAGCGCCAACTTCAAGAGTTTAACAATCGTCAAACGCAGCTCATACTGTATCTTCTATCTAGATAACCAGCTCTCTCCAGCTCAAATTTCAATTCCAGCTGCAGGATGCATCTGTCGAGTTGGCGCTGCCGGAGGACGATTGTCATGCCAGAATGTGCACTTCCGCGTCCGCTTAGTTGTATGAACTTAACAGTAAATTGAATTAAAATTTATTGTGAAAATTGCAAAATTCCAAAACGCAGCAGCAGCAGCAGCTACGAGAAGTGGGCTGGCTTCAAGGAGACATCAGCGCAAATCCAATACAAATAAAATTAAGTAAAAATGCACACACACACACTCGCAATGGTGTGGGCGAAGGGGGTGGAGGGGGGGGGGGTGCTTGGGGTCGCCGTGTGTTTGCACAAAAATATGCAAATGTGATATTGTCGCTGGCGACATTTACAACAATTACAATAACAACGAACGGACGGGACAGGCGGCAACTAACTGCGTGCGACATGTGACACGATATTCAAATAAAGGCGGCCCACAGGCAGCAGGCGAAACGTAGGCGGGTGGGCGTGGCATTTATAGCATATATTTTGCATAAAAAGAGGGAAATATGCAGCAAGAAAACGAGCGAAAGCAGCAGCAGCACAGAAATCAAATAAAACAAATTTGGAATTTTACAGCAGGCGAACCAGAAGAAGAACCTCTTCTACATACATACATACATACAGACAAACGAGTACATATGTACACATAAAGGAGTCCCGCAGATAACTTCAACTAGCTCGTTTTTTTTTTGTCCTGTGCAGACAAACAGACTGACATTCAATTTAAATTCCTATACAAATAATTTCGTGCCAGTTCCAAAGCCAAGCAGGGTAGGAAGGAGCACTGCAATGCTTAGATTATGTTGATTATTTAACTGCGATACTGAGACATTTGCCATAATTTGCCTAGCTCAATGTCAATGAACACAGACGCCAAAACGCGTCATGCTAATAATTATGCATTCCTCACCACTCTCTATTCTGCGGAATTATTCTGTGCTCATCACCTGCTAAAGCTCTCTATTCGCTCTATTCAACAGGTATCGGCTTCAAGATGCCCTCTACAAAGATTTCAAATTAAAGCAAATTCATCACTCGATGTGATGCTCACAAAATCTTTTAGTAAATAGATCTATCCAGAATATTTAGAGAAATTCATTAATTTTAAGTGGCAAAGTCTTGTTCATCTATTGTTCGAAGTTAGGGTATAAAAGTAAATTTCTAGTCAAAGCAAATTTTCTTAATGCAGCGCACGCACCTGAGCTGCGTGCTACTTTATCCTTGGCGACTGGCTTCGTTCGGTTTACCTGACTGCGGCTTCGCCCATTATCGCTGCGGTTATCTTTTTCCTCCTCCGCGTACCCCTCGTACTCCACCACGCCATTATCATCAATGTTATCAACAGCTTAGCTTAAACTTTATGCGACTGAAAGATGCACCACGTTCGACGTTCCACGTTTCGCTGCAGCTGCTTTCTCATGCTTTGCGCATCAATGATTTTGATCAGATTTACTGACGCTGTCCACTGCCGATGGTGATAAAGAAAATGACGATGACGATGATGACGACGCGGGCGGCCACAGGGCGCATTTAGCAGCCCTTTTATCTTGTTTCCCACAATATTTTTGCATTTATAATGAAATTCATCGTCATTTTTCATACTTTTACAAAGTGGATTTTTATTAGATTTGCATTTCCAGCAAACCTTTTTATGCGTGGACATACGTATGTATATATATGTTATACATACATTTATATATCTACTGTGTTGGAAGCAATATGGTTAAAATGCATTCAGACTTTCATTTTTTCTTTTTTTTTACCAAATGTCAATATCAAAACTCATCCGATTTTCATAAGGTTTGGCTTTTTGTGCATGGTTTGGCCTCTAGATCAATCTGGCATCTAAATCTGACAACATTATTTTTAGTCAAAATTCAAGTGAAAATGGTACTCCCTATTATCCTATATAGACATAGGTCAACTTTCCCACCCCATAACTCTGGAAAATCTCATCCGATTTTCATAAGGTTTGGCTTTTTGTGCATGGTTTGGCCTGTAGATAAATCTGGCATCTAAATCTGACAACATTATTTTTAGTCAAAATTCAAGTAAAAATGGTACTCCCTATTATCCTATATAGACATAGGTCAACTTTCCCACCCCCATAACTCTGGAAAATCTCATCCGATTTTCATAAGGTTTGGCTTTTTGTGCATGGTTTGGCCTCTAGATCAATCTGGCATCTAAATCTGACAACATTATTTTTAGTCAAAATTCATGTGGAAATGGTACCCTCAAATATCCTATATAAACATAGGTCAACTTTTCCACCCCCATAACTCTGGCAAATCTCATCCGATTTTCATAAGGTTTGGCATTTTGTGCATGGTCTGGCCTCTAGATCAATCTGGCATCTAAATCTGACAACATTATTTTTAGTCAAAATTCATGTGGAAATGGTACCCTCAAATATCCTATATAGACATAGGTCAACTGTCCCACCCCCATAACTCTGGCAAATCTCATCCGATTTTCATAAGGTTTGGCTTTTTGTGCATGGTTTGGACTCTAGATCAATCTGGCATCTAAATCTGACAACATTATTTTTAGTCAAAATTCAAGTGAAAATGGTACCCTCAAATATCCTATATAGACATAGGTCAACTTTCCCACCCCCATAACTCTGGCAAATCTCATCCGATTTTCATAAGGTTTGGCTTTTTGTGCATGGTTTGGACTCTAGATCAATCTGGCATCTAAATCTGACAACATTATTTGTAGTCAAAATTCAAGTGAAAATGGTACCCTCAAATATCCTATATAGACATAGGTCAACTCCTCCACCCCCATAACTCGATCAAATCTCATCCGATTTTCATAAGGTTTGGCTTTTTGTGCATGGTTTGGCCTCTAGATCAATCTGGCATCTAAATCTGACAAAATTATTTTTAGTCAAAATTCATGTGGATGTGGTACCCTCAAATATCCTATATAAACATAGGTCAACTTTCCCACCCCCATAACTCTGGCAAATCTCATCCGATTTTCATAAGGTTTGGCTTTTTGTGCAGGGTTTGGCCTCTAGATCAATCTGGCATCTAAATCTGACAACATTATTTTTAGTCAAAATTCATGTGGAAGTGGTACCCTCAAATATCCCATATAGACATAGGTCAACATTTCCCACCCCATAACTCTGGCAAATCTCATCCGATTTTCATAAGGTTTGGCTTTTTGTGCATGGTTTGGACTCTAGATCAATCTGGCATCTAAATCTGACAACATTATTTGTAGTCAAAATTCAAGTGAAAATGGTACCCTCAAATATCCTATATAGACATAGGTCAACTCCTCCACCCCCATAACTCGATCAAATCTCATCCGATTTTCATAAGGTTTGGCTTTTTGTGCATGGTTTGGCCTCTAGATCAATCTGGCATCTAAATCTGACAAAATTATTTTTAGTCAAAATTCATGTGGATGTGGTACCCTCAAATATCCTATATAAACATAGGTCAACTTTCCCACCCCCATAACTCTGGCAAATCTCATCCGATTTTCATAAGGTTTGGCTTTTTGTGCAGGGTTTGGCCTCTAGATCAATCTGGCATCTAAATCTGACAACATTATTTTTAGTCAAAATTCATGTGGAAGTGGTACCCTCAAATATCCCATATAGACATAGGTCAACTTTCCCACCCCCATAACTCTGGCAAATCTCATCCGATTTTCATAAGGTTTGGCTTTTTGTGCATGGTTTGGCCTCTAGATCAATCTGGCATCTAAATCTGACAACATTATTTTTAGTCAAAATTCAAGTGAAAATGGTACCCTCAAATATCCTATATAGACATAGGTCAACTTTCCCACCCCCATAACTCTGGCAAATCTCATCCGATTTTCATAAGGTTTGGCTTTTTGTGCATGGTTTGGCCTCTAGATCAATCTGGCATCTAAATCTGACAACATTATTTTTAGTCAAAATTCAAGTGGAAATGGTACCCTCAAATATCCTATATAGACATAGGTCAACTTTCCCACCCCCATAACTCTGGCAAATCTCATCCGATTTTCATAAGGTTTGGCTTTTTGTGCATGGTTTGGACTCTAGATCAATCTGGCATCTAAATCTGACAACATTATTTTTAGTCAAAATTCAAGTGAAAATGGTACCCTCAAATATCCTATATAGACATAGGTCAACTTTCCCACCCCCATAACTCTGGCAAATCTCATCCGATTTTCATAAGGTTTGGCTTTTTGTGCATGGTTTGGACTCTAGATCAATCTGGCATCTAAATCTGACAACATTATTTTTAGTCAAAATTCAAGTGAAAATGGTACCCTCAAATATCCTATATAGACATAGGTCAACTGTCCCACCCCCATAACTCTGGCAAATCTCATCCGATTTTCATAAGGTTTGGCTTTTTGTGCATGGTTTGGCCTCTAGATCAATCTGGCATCTAAATCTGACAACATTATTTTTAGTCAAAATTCAAGTGAAAATGGTACCCTCAAATATCCTATATAGACATAGGTCAACTTTCCCACCTCCATAACTCTGGCAAATCTCATCCGATTTTCATAAGGTTTGGCTTTTTGTGCATGGTTTGGACTCTAGATCAATCTGGCATCTAAAACTGACAACATTATTTTTAGTCAAAATTCATGTGGAAATGGTACCCTCAAATATCCTATATAGACATAGGTCAACTGTCCCACCCCCATAACTCTGGCAAATCTCATCCGATTTTCATAAGGTTTGGCTTTTTGTGCATGGTTTGGACTCTAGATCAATCTGGCATCTAAATCTGACAACATTATTTTTAGTCAAAATTCATGTGGAAATGGTACCCTCAAATATCCTATATAGACATAGGTCAACTCCTCCACCCCCATAACTCTGGCAAATCTCATCCGATTTTCATAAGGTTTGGCTTTTTGTGCATGGTTTGGACTCTAGATCAATCTGGCATCTAAATCTGACAACATTATTTTTAGTCAAAATTCAAGTGAAAATGGTACCCTCAAATATCCTATATAGACATAGGTCAACTCCTCCACCCCCATAACTCTGGCAAATCTCATCCGATTTTCATAAGGTTTGGCTTTTTGTGCATGGTTTGGCCTCTAGATCAATCTGGCATCTAAATCTGACAACATTATTTTTAGTCAAAATTCATGTGGAAGTGGTACCCTCAAATATCCTATATAGACATAGGTCAACATTTCCCACCCCATAACTCGATCAAATCTCATCCGATTTTCATAAGGTTTGGCTTTTTGTTCATGGTATGGCGTCAGCATCTAAATGGTAAATTAGCTTACCGTCCGATCGGTTTCAAATTCAATTTCAAAGATCTTGGAGAGAATTTATTTTATACCCCGAAAGGCCGGGGTATACCAGCTAGTATAATAATACAAGTATTTTCTTCGAAGGCATATAAGTAGCTTATATGTGTGTGTATGTATGTGTGTGTTTGTGTGTGGGCGTTTGTGCTTTAGTGTATGCATTTATATATATATGTATGCATGCATGTTTATTTTCTAATACCAAAAGCAGACCAAGCCTATTTGTCGCTGTACTGCAAATTTAAATAAAACGAATTTCTTCCAGGTGCATTCCTCCTCGATTCTCAAAAATTCAAGTAGGCCTTGCTGAAATTCAACAAGGCAGGAAACATTGGCTCCGACGGCCGGTGGAGCAGCAGTAGGTGTGTGGATGTAGAGTATGTAAGTATGTAAGTATGTAAGTATGTAAGTATGTAAGTATGTAAGTATGTAAGTATGTAAGTATGTAAGTATGTAAGTATGTAAGTATGTAAGTATGTAAGTATGTAAGTATGTAAGTATGTAAGTATGTAAGTATGTATGTATGTAAGTATGTATGTATGTATGTATGTATGTATGTATGTATGTATGTATGTATGTATGTATGTATGTATGTATGTATGTATGTATGTATGTATGTATGTATGTATGTATGTACATATGTGTGTATGTATGTGTGTATGTATATATGTATGTACATATTTACTTATGTACGTATGTATGTACATATGTGTGTGTGTTTGTATGTATGTGTGTATGTACATATTTATGTATGTATGTATGTGCGCATGTATTTAGGTATCCGGACATGTATTCATACATGTACGATGCCATGTATGTTTGCATATATACAAAACAAACATGCATGTATGTATGTACAACCAGGAATACAATACAGCTTCCTAGCTATTACGGTTTGGGCTGTGCGTTGATCGCCAATCAGTCAGTCAGTCAGTACAAACAGTTTTTAAATATAGAAATATTTTTATGTTTATGTACATATCATAAGCATCCTATTAATAAAAAATTCGTGCACATTCATATTCATATTTTCCACACAATTTGTTAATAGGGGAAACTATGTGTTTTGGAAACACAACGTGCAGAAAATTTTCTATTAGATAAACTGTCAGTCATTTGCGGTGACATTGGCGACAGGGCTAACGTGAACGTGTGCCCAGGAGCCCCAAAACGAAAGTCATCCGATGATATTTCAAATTATTGTGAGCCCCTCGCGAACATTGTGAGAGTGTCACCACCAAGAGGTACCCTGTATATTACTCAAAAAATGTTTCAACCGTATGTGTCTGTGGCATTTCATTATATATATAGGGATGCTTGGAAAAGCAGTTAGAAAGGAAGTAAATAATACATTAAAAAATAATAATGACAAATGTAGTTACTAGCTAAAAAATCACTCTCCTCATGCACGCAGGTAATAGGACAGAACATTAACAGGTATTGAAATACTAAAAATGTTGTACGTGTTTTAGTCTGGCGGTAACTGAATTTTACACGTAAAATATTACAAAAATACCTCATGTGCATTATGAGTTCAATACAATACGTGAGATTATACAACAATGACAGTCAGCAGTGAATATTCGCGACACGGCAACTAACTGACAAACATAGATAATTAAGATAATATTCCACCACATTTAAAATTTCATAGGAGCGCGCGCTCAAAACAAGGCAATGCTGATTAAAGTGTTGGTGAATCTTGAATGTTAAGCGTTGCGCAACACTCTCATATCGCTCGATATATCGTATCTAGTCACTATTAAATCGACGCTGATGCGGCGTGGTTCGCAGATTTACTAAAACTAAAAATAAAAAACTTCAGTAACAATGGATGATGAGGCGGAAACTTATAAGCTTTGGCGAATACGCAAGACTATCATGCAGCTGAGCCACGATCGTGGTTACCTTGTGACCCAGGATGAATTGGACCAGACTCTGGAGCAGTTTAAGGAAATGTTTGGCGACAAGCCCAGTGACAAGCGCCCGTCGCGCTCAGATTTGATCGTATTGGTGGCCCACAACGACGATCCTACCGACCAGATGTTTGTCTTTTTTCCCGAGGAACCGAAGATTGGCATCAAAACCATCAAGACGTACTGTACCCGTATGCAAGAGGAAAACATACATAGGGCCATCGTCGTGGTGCAAGGCGGCATGACTCCATCGGCCAAGCAATCGTTGGTCGACATGGCACCCAAATATATACTCGAACAGTTTCTGGAGTCCGAGCTGCTTATCAACATTACAGAGCACGAGCTAGTGCCGGAGCATGTGGTAATGACAGCGGAGGATAAACAAGAGCTACTAAGTAGATACAAGTTAAAAGAGAACATGTTGATGCGGATCCAGGCGGGAGATCCTGTCGCGCGCTACTTTGGACTGAAGCGTGGCCAAGTTGTGAAAATTATACGTTCCTCTGAAACAGCGGGCAGATATATATCATATCGATTGGTTTGTTGAGCGACTTGCAGACCGGCTGACACACCTCTTGTGAAATGAAACAAGAGCAATGAAAATATCTATATACTTTCAAGCCTGAATTTAATTATAATGAATAAAAAATTACATATAATCTTAAAATAAACCCCAATAAATCATTATATCAGTACGTATGTATTATGTTTACTAATTGCAGGATTTAAAACTTGACATACACCAGAATTTCATTGTATTAAGGGGGTTCATCTTCATGACATACTTTGTGGATTAATTTAATGTGATTCATTTATAATCTGAAATGTAAGTATTTTTTGAGGCGCTAACCAACTGTCGTGTTGATATACACCATCGATAACAGTAAGAAAAACATTATCGATAGTCTCATATTTTGTCGACAAGTGTGCGAAAAGAAAAAAACAAATACAGAAAATACAATTATACAATCTTTGATATACACCATCTACAACAGTAAGAAATACATTATCGATAGTCTCATGTTTCGATATATATCGATAAGTGTAAAGGTATAACAGTGTGCGAAAAGAAAAAAACAAATACAGAAAATACAATTATACAATCTGAGGTGTGTTGTCTGTGTGCCTGGTCTGCTAAACAGCCAGTGGCGTCTGGCATTCTGAGATGGCCATGCTAACGCGCCTGACCAGCAGCGGTACAACAACGGTAGCACCTGGCTCGCCAAAGGGCTTGCAACGTTTTCAAAACTACCTCACCGCGTTTCTCTGGCCGGGAGCGTCGCAGCGACAGCAGCGGAAGGCCTCTACGCAGCTGGATGCCATTGATTGCTTCACCAACGATTTGGTCAACCGTAAGACACAAAAATGGGAGGAGCTGCGTGAAAATCTGATGAAGCCCGTTGCCGAGGATTCCAATTACGGTGCGAACTTTGGACAGAATGTCGGCCTGATGTCTAAAGGTATGATGAGCGACTTGAAAACGCTCCGCTCACCGCAGCTGGGCCTAGACATACGATCGCTGTCGCAACCGCAGCTGGACAACTTGCTCCTGGCCACGCTGGAGATCAAGAATAAGGTTGACTTTCTCTATTTAATACGTCAATGCGTACGCTGGCAGCAGTTGCCCTGCAACGAGGTTTTCATCTCTTGCCTAAAGTATTTGAGCTCATTGGGTCGCATGCAGCAGCTGGAATCGCTAGCCGAGACATGCCGACAGTTGAAGCATCCTTTTGCAAACACGTACTCAGATCTGGCTCCGTTTAAGGCTATTGCACTGTGGCACAACGGCAACTCAGATGTTGCGCTAATGACGCTGCATCGCGGCTATGGCGGAAGCCTTAATACAGACGAGGGCAGACGAATGATTCGCGTTGCGTTTCGCACCATTGTTGAGGAGACTTTGGCTCAGAAAAGCGAAGCAGTACTTATATCCTTAATAGATGTCGCCCGTGACATATACCGAGAGCACAAGGACATCTTTGTGGTGGCGTGCGTGTGGAAACAGTGTTTTGCCAGCGATTGGTTCTGTGATCAAAAATCTGCAGGCGAACTATTCGAACATTATAAGGAGCTGCAGCAACTGGTCGATCGCAGGTGCGTACACACTAATTTGAGTCATCCATCCACCAATTTAATTGATATTCGATATTCTTAAAAATAAATCTTTTAGAGCCAGTCCACTCTGCTCCTCGTTCCTGAGTCGCCACAACATTGATGCCGTTCATCGTCTAATAGAGGTATTTTTGCAGCACAATCAGCGAACCGCATGCGGTAATTGCCTAAGTTTGCTGTTCAACTATCAATGTATGGGCTATATACTTTCATTTCATTGTATTGGTGGCATATGACTAATTTTTTTGTATTTTACAGACTTGCGCAAGGACCTGCGTGCTTGTGCTGAAATTGTAAAATCCTGTAGCGAACTGGAAATGCCATTGAATGAGCTGCAAAATGAACAGTTCCTTAGTCTGTTCCTTGATCAAAGCGATCCATTTGAGACAACAGCTGGCAATCGTAGTGCGGCCAAGTACAAGACAAAATCGTTCCAGTACAAATTTTAGAGGCAACCGTAATTGTAATTGTAGAGCACAAGATCAAGCAACAACAAACATCCCGTTTTTGCATTACAGCAATATGCACATACATATACCTTTAAAACTTTAATAAATGTTATGATACCTTTAACACTTTTAGTCTTGCTCACGAACATACTGAACCATTGGCTGAAAAATTAATTCAATATCACTTTAACAAGCCGCCAAATATATATTTACTCAGGGCCAAGACGAACTGTTTAATCTTTGATTTAACCCTCTGTTTAAAATAATTCACTTGGAATTTTATTGGATTTTATACTTTGCTTAACTATTTTATTGTTATTCGTAGGGTATATTATGTCGACAATTTTAAATGTCCTTGATGTTGCCATCAGGTAACTGCGACGTTGCAAGTCCCATGCATTCGTAACAGCGTGAGATTAGATGATTGCCACATCGATGCACCTGACACTGTTGGCAACGAGAACGCGCTTTAATCTCACGCTTGTTGCGAGCGCAGGGCTTGCAACGACGATGCCTATCTCCATAGCGACTGACCAAAGTGATTCTTTCGGGTAACATGGCATTAGCCACACTAATGACGCCTACTCCATTCGAGTGCTTGGCATCATTCGAGGCTTCACTCAACAGCCGCTGGCTAGACTGACCCAAAATCTCACAAATTTGCAAACGCATAACAAGCGTTGTATTCGCAGACCGACGATGCAGACGGCGTTGTAAACGTTGCTGGGTTAAAAAGAGTCCCAGCTGGCGCTGGCAGTCGCGTTGTTCCATGTTGGCATCGCCTTTTGGCGATAGTCGGAGTAATATCCAAGCGTTAACAGCTGCCACATTGAGCATCAAATGCAGCAGCTGCAGGAATAAACCGGGCTTAGCTCCCGCCAGACTTGCAGGTAGAGACAAAGCTGTACTATATCTGTTAGACAATTCGAAAAATTGGTTGCAGGATTGGAAAGTGTGCTGTTGCGTTTGCAAGGCATTTAATTGCCTGTTCAAGCCACAGCTGAGCAATGCTACGCCAGATTGCTGGGTTAGTTTCTTAGAGCTGTTTATAAGGGTTCCACCCGACCATGCTTTAGGAAAATCCAACGAAGTGGCGGGCAATGTGCAAATACTACTTAAATTGCACTGGAGCAGTTGTTCGCAATGGTTGACGCTGACAAAATGCGAGCATAGCGTAACATTTCGACCTGTGGTTTTGTAATCGCAAATGAGCTGCATCAGCTCCTTATTGGGCTTCAACTCCGGCTTCCTAAGTAACGCATTGGTCATATATAGAGTCTTGGCATCACAGCAGAGTGCCAGGAGCACATTATCAAGAGACTGCTGCTCATCCACACAAAGCCAACCACTGGGTCCATAATAAGAGCGACAGTTTATAAGTAGTTTTTGCCACAGGCGCTGTGCATCGTTCCAGCTGCTATCACTCTGGCAGCTTAAGCAATTTGCAATAAACTCGAAGCGTGTTAGCGACATTGTGGCACGGAAGATGGCATTTCCTAACTCTAGCGTCCAGAGCTCTTCTGTTAAAAGCGAAAGGGTGAGAGAACGGATAAATTATACGTGATAGTTGTTTAACTACCCAGCGGTCCATTGTACTGTGCATTACGAAACACGCCACACAAATAACTTAAGCCCAGCCAAGAGCGCAGCTCTGTGAGATCTACGGACCGTTCAGCGGCATTACTGGTTCTTCGCTTGCGTATCCGCTCGTTAACCAGGCGTAGCAGCAGGCGCAACATTTCATCGTCAAATAATAGCATCCAAGACTCCACAGCATTGGAAACGGATCTTGCCGGCCCTTTACCGCAAGCTTGCTGCCTAGGAACCATCAGTTCCTCCTGTACAGGAGTCACATCACGATCCATCACGTTCCAGATGTGACCACTGCTAGAATAGAAACTGACGCCGTTGCTTGAAGGCCGTCCACGTTTACCACGACCTTTGCCAGGTATCTGTACCTCCTCCTCAGTGAGCTGTGCATCATCAAGCAGAATGTCTTCATCATTAAAAAGCCACGCAAAGTTAGATGGCATCGAAGATGTTTCCTGCAGCGGATCTGCGTGACCTTCGACTGTAGTCTTAAGATCCATTTCTAAATTCTCATCTTCCATTCGCTGGTCATTATTGCGATTATTACCACTGCTTTTTATGTTTGACAGCAGATGCTCGTCTAAGACGCAAGCCATTTCGTCGCTGTCATCCATTGTTTACCATTCGTCGTTGTTTACGTTTTTGACTACCGTGAAGTTGGCTCTGCGCACATTTTACTCTCACGTGAAGTTGGCTGCGTGCACGAATTGATGCTCGCGTAAGTGTGTACATATCAAATCAAAAAATACATAATTAAAACGGCAGCAAAACAAAACATTGCTATTCTAATTGTTCGCTAAACTAAATCAGCGGTGTACGTGTAGTATATATAAATTAGATGAAGCGTTACACCGACAGGCGGCACGTGTACACCATTTTAGATCAACAACAACAACAACAACAACACTCTCAAATACGTAAAATACTACGCAGAAAGCAACCCAAGCGCAGCTCCCACAGGGAGGTTAGAAGATTGCTCAATAAACCATTTAAACTTCAACGTACAAAATATTGAATCACCAAACAACTGTAGTGTTTACGTTGTGTGAATTAAGCGCGCGTATTAAGCGATTTGTCAAAAATTCTGCTTGGCAATGTCAATTTGACATGTTATACTGTCACGTCTTAGGTTAAGTCTTATACTAGGAGCTGTCGATAGACGATATCAGAGTAGGTTTCGATAATAAACAATTTTTCAGGCGAGAAATTTCAAAATAAAAAATAATATGCAGTAGGAGGCCATGATAAATTTGTGGCAGCTCGAAAATGTCGTCTAGTCAAAGTTAGTCTAATTTCAAAGCCGGTGCTGTGAACACAAAAATTACGGAAACTAGAAAATATATAGAAGATATTTATTTACTATTTTTTTTTTGTGAAAAAAGTTTTTGAGGAGCTGCAAGTCATTCCGTGCTTGTACTCCTTTTTTTTTGTTGTTGGTGTTTGCTGTGTGTCATCATGATCTCGCCGGAACAGCATGAAGTTGATTTGGTATTGGATCGCCAAGTGCGCCGGAATATTCAGGACATGATGCACGAGGCTGATGTACAAGCGAATTTGTTAGAAAGCGAAGGTGAGATACTCAGCATCAAATCCATATGTGTCCGTCCTATTGACAGTTCGATTTAGGCGTTTCGGCACGTGAGCGCTACAATTCGGAGTCCAGCATCGATCAGGATCATTTACAGCAGGACACAATGGCGGTGCTGGGCACTCTATCTGCAGATGAGATTGTCGAGGAGGACCAAGACTCGGAGCAAGCGGTTCAGGAAATACAGAACTTTCATGATATGCTGGTAGAAACGCATATCGATGTCAATGGTTCGCTTAGAAAACGTCGCGGCAATTTGCCAAAGCACTCGGTGAAGATATTGAAACGTTGGCTCTACGAGCATCGCTACAATGCGTATCCCAGTGATGCAGAGAAGTTTGCCCTTTCCCAGGAGGCGAATCTAACCGTGCTTCAAGTATGCAATTGGTTCATAAATGCTCGTCGGCGCATTCTGCCAGAGATGATACGCCGCGAGGGTAACGATCCCTTGCATTTTACTATCTCGCGCCGTGGTAAAAAGATAAGCCCAAACTCTTCGGGTTCCATGGGTTTAAATATTAACTGCGCCCCAAATCCCATTACAGGCAGTCCTGCCTCGGAAGTGGTAATTGGATTTTTATGTAATCACGATTAGATCAATTCATATATCTTTAAAATATTTGCTTCCAAAGGTTGTTGGCGCTACAGAGGAGGTGCACAGTGCTGCTGAAATGCATGAGGGAATTGCCAATGTGCTCACCAACTTCGATGAATATGTGCGGGCACCCAATGGCCAAATGGTCAAGATGGAGCCAGAGTTCGATGAGAGTGTAATTTACAGGTAATGCTCGGGTTGCTTAAGTAATTAGCCTGTAGCCAAAAAACCCTTCCCCCAAGTTGGCAACAAGCAATAGCAAACAATCCGATGGGCTTTCAGAGGCTGCACACATCGCTGCAAGCTACCATAATCGATAAGATACAAAGCTATCAGTTGCGCAAGGCGGCCATGAGCGATGGTAGTACCACCAGCAGTAGCAGCAGCAGCAGCTATAGCGCCAGCAATTCCATGCTATCATATAGCCCTTATGGCCAACTGCCACCCGAGTTCGATGAGGACAAGCCAAGGAAGCGCGGACGCAAGCGTCAGAGCGAGCTGAACAAGACCGAGACTGTAGCAAATAAAATACTTAAGCAGCAGGAACGTGGCCAAGGGGACCAACAGAAACTGTATCTGTCTAAAGCAGAAGTATTTTCTAAACAGGATGATTGCAATGGTTTTGTGGCTGCGCTTAGGTAGCTTCATGCTTTAGTTTTAGCTTATAAGTTTCGATAGCAGCCTGCCGTCAATTGTCGCATTTAATGGCCACGTTTTCATTCGCAGATCCGAGGGTGAGGAAAGCGGCCATGATTACGAGTCCTGCGAGCAGGTCAGCGAGGAAGAAGTGCGCTTTGAGACCTCCGACGACTGGCAGAGTGTTATCAAGTAAGTATTTCTCGATAAGGTGCAACAAAACTACACTGTTTGCTCTCTACCTATGCAACTTTCTTAATGCTATGCAGGACCGTTTTCAGCACCGAGGAAGTGACCACCACCAAAAATAATGCCAGTGCTTCCAATTGTGATCCAGTCCTCCCTCCCACGCAGATTAAGAGTGAGGGTAAGTGGAGGCGCCTATCAAGATATTCAAATTTGTTGTTTTCATGCCGCTTCCTGAGATTATAGGCAATCAGCAGCAACAACTACTGGATCATATGTTGGGCGCCGAGGCAACGATTGTGACGAGTTCGAATGCAGATGATGGTGTTGCATGTGCTCCAGAGCAGGAAGAAAATGCTACCATTACGGACAATGATAATACACAACTTGAAACGCAAACACCGCCACGTCAAGGTGCGGTAATATTGAATTAGATTAGATAGATGCGTTGCATATAACAATAGAGATTACTTGCAGCTTTAAGTCGTGAGGAACGCGATAAATATAAATGCCTTTATTATCTTGTGGAAACTGCTATGGCTGTGCGTCAGAGCGACAGCGGCCAAGATGAAGAACTTGCCTACATGGGAAACTATCTGAATAACTAACCTCTTCTTAATCAAGGATTTATTGTACATATTTATCAAGTATTTGATTTAAATTCCAAGCGTCAGGCTTGCGCTTGTTAAACTTATTGAAGCGCGTAAGCGATTTTCGAATTGCTTACGTATCGTTAACAGAGAAACTTCAAAACTCAAATAGTAGTCAAATACATATTGAAAAAAATCTTGTTTTTGATCCTAGGTGACAGGTGAATTTGATTGACAATCTGCCCATGCAATTGAATGTATAACATTAACATACCCTAGATTTGTTTTTGTGCGACGGCAAATGGTTGAACGTAATTTAATTTACAAAGGAAACGTTTGCCGCTTTGTTTCGTGTGACTTAATGCATTACATATTACACATTCACTTTTAAATATATTATCTACACAAATGCCACTGATGAAATTTTACCCGCGAACTAACGGTTAATCCACCGACGCACTTGTGGCGCGACGGGATAAAAGTGCGACTGCAATGGCTGAACGTAGTTTAATTCCCAAAGGAAATATTTGTTGCTTCGTGGTTTCGTGAGATTTACGGCATTAAAAATTACACATTCACTTTTTAATATATCATTATTTACACAAATTGCACTGTTTAAATTTCGGGCCGGAAACTAACGGTTAATGCACCGACGCAGTTGTAATACCAATCGACCAATAGCGATAGCAAGAGTTTCGATATGTAGCAATCGTAATTGTCAGTATCTACGGTCACATTGCAAATACCGAAAGTTGATATTTTGGGATTTAAAAGTTTTTGGGGTGACCACAGCTGCAAGTATAGCTGTTAGTGTTGGTAAAAAAAATGAGCTACGAGCAGGCGAAGTGTAATTTGTGTAAATAATAATATATTAAAATGTGAATGTGTAACATGTAATGCTGTCTCATAAAACGCACAAAACTACGAAGCAGCAAACGTTTCCTTTGTGAATTAATTTACGTTCAACCATTTGCCGTCGCACTTTTAACCTGTCGCGCCACCTCCACCGCTTGCTGCCCCACAAAAACAAATCTTACGCTTTTGAGATAGCGGCTTTGTTGAAGCAGAGACATTATTAGTGGCACATAGCAAATCCAGGACATGCGAAGAGCATTTCACATTGCGGTGTGGGTCAGTATCTAAAATGCTTACTTTAAGCTCGTCTGTAAGTTAACTGTGCACTTTGGTCGTCTTGGCATCATTTCGTTTCGGCTATTTGGAATATTACTTACGTTTCCTTTGTGTCAGTACTTGCGTCACCAAAGCTGCAGTTGTTGTACTTACATATGAATATATATATATATATATACATTCTTTCAACTTTTTGCCTCTAACCGTTCCTCCTTCCACTGTTATCCGAGCCGCGTCTCAGTAATGTTATTGTTTTTCCGCTCTGTTAATCGAATAGGTGACTAGTTTCTTTCGACAGTGCCCTTTATCGGTAATCTTATTAAAATTCATGTCATAATTTTTGTTGCACGTTTATTTAACATTATTTTACATTAGAAACTGAATTGGAATTTTGATATAAGCACATTTCACATTATTAAATATATGATATACGTATGTATATGATTTGTAGGGGTGTCTATATTCCATTGCACTTAATTTAATTTTCTCTCTTCTTTTCGCGCTGCTGCTCACATAATTTGGCGCTTTGCTTTTCTCCCATTAACCCCACTGGCTATTTTTAAGCACGTGCCGTTGTGACACTCAGACCTATTCTATTCAGGCTATGATGACTCTTAAACGTACACGTACAACCATATGCACATACATATATATATATATATATATATATATATATAGAGTAAATTTAATTTTAGCTCATAATTTGTTACAGTTGAAAAAAATGTAATACAAATTATAAGTGACGCAGCCCGTGGAGCTGTGGATGTTAAGGATGCGTCTTCATAAATCACTCGATTCCAATTAATAAATGGAGGCAACACCTCTCAGTACAACAATAATGAAAAGTCAACCCCAACGGCAGCAAAGGGTCAAATGCGCAGTTAGTTTGCGCCTTCGCCTTCGTCTACAACAGAGCATCGTCTCATAGCGTCGCTCAGTTCGCCTCAGTCTACGCTCTAGCTTTGTCTAGCTAGCGTATTTAGCATTGTTGTCTCTCTCTTATTCTCGCCCTCTCTCTCTGTTGCTCTGATGTGTAGTCTCTATTTGGATGCCGCCGCACTTGTTGTGCCACCAACGCAACGCAACGCATCATTTTCAGTTGCAATTATAAGCCGCACGGGTTCCAACTGAATTTCGTGTGAATTTTCAACAAGTTTTTTATTGGACATAGGCCACGTTTTGTTGTGGGCTAAAAATATAAATAAAACAAATTGAAATGTTGTGCATGTCTCTTAGCATGGGTATAACAAATTTGTTGTTCTAGCTCTTATGTGTACACAAGTTGACCGATCGAAAAATGCTGTTGCTGCGACGGTATGTGTTGCAGGTGTTAAACGATTAATTCTTCATTTATTATTGCTGTGCATTAGACAACTTTAACTGGGTCGCACACGCGCCATCTAGCGGCCGTAATCTTAGCTTCAGATCATAGTGCGCACGATAAGCCATACTGCAAATTGAACAACCTATATACATATGTATGAGCTGGGCGGGTTCAATGCCTGTCTGGGTTAAAACTATTTTTAGTGTTTCGTGAACGAAGTGAGTAAGCAAAACTGAACAATCTTAATTGAGCGGGCTCTTGTAAAAAACAATAATGACGAATCCCTGGCGAAAGTGCATTCCAGAACATATTCCGAGTCGTAGGATGCCAGTTAATGCATGCATAATTACATTTATTACAACTACATTACCTGGGCACAGCTGCTGCTGCCTCCTGTCCGTGCTGCTCCCTTGCAAGTGTGTCGACAATATAAGTTTTTCCCTTTTCCGAGCAGCGAAATTGGCACAAATAACGAGAGCTACTAACAAATTGCTTGTTACCAACTTATTTGTTGGCTTCTCGCCAAGTTCTGTTGTTTCAAGCCTGGCTTCACATTACGTGCGATTTGTTTGCGGCCATATTTTCTTTATTGCCGTCATGGGACGAACAAAACGAGACAGAGACAACAGACGTGTGTGTGTGGGTGGGCAGGTGTGTGTGGGTGGGCAGGTGTGTGCCTCCTACCCCATCATCGAATAGGGGCCCTTTTCACGGTTAACGGTAATACTCTTGCCACTTGTTAGGCGTCATGTCTTGGTCTACTCATTCGTTATATTTAATGCGAAATCAATCAGATTAGCTTTGATGAGCGTAAAGGCAAACGTATTACGGCTAAGGTTCTACAAAAGGTTAGTAGTTCATTGGGTTAAATTCGTTCAAGTACATTTTTATTGATATTTTTTTGCTTATAACTTGGGATATGCATGCTTAGAACTAACAGCTAAAATTAACAATACATTTGTGTGTGTGTGTTCCAGTTACAGAGGAACCTTTATGGTCGAGATCAAGATTGCCAAAGAACCGTTGGTAACGATTGTTGGGTAGAAATCAGGAAAATAACCTAATACTAAGAATACTCAACACACAGACTCGCAGACTGATTTCTCTGCTTCTTAAATGTCTTATAAAATAAAGCACATTTGTGATACATATATTTCGTATTGTAAATTTTGAACTTTGAACTGCATTCGAAGAAACATTTGAGTGTTTCACACATAGCCACTGGATTCAAGCTTGAGGGCGCCCTCGTATGTGGGCAGGCCCGATATGTCAATGATTTTGCTCATGTCCAGACTGACGATGCCGTTCTCGTTGATATTGTCAATATCCAGATTGGCGTCCAGGTTGCCAGTTACAGTCGCTGTTGCCACTTCTGCTGCTGCTGCTGCCACTTCCATCGCTTCTGCATTGTCATTTTCGTCAGTTGCCGATGTTGCCTCAGTTGTGCTGTCCACCACATTTCCATTTGCTGCATCATCATCGATTTGATTCAGAGCTTCTATGGCTGCTTGCTCAGCATTTGCCAAATTCTCATTGGCATCGTACTGTTCCGGGACACTCTCCACAGATGCCGATGCCGCCAAGGCCTCGTCTTCGGACGCATAGCGAAACTTGCCGCACAATGGACAGCCGCGTCTGTAGTGGCTGTGCTGCTGCTGATGATGATGATGTTGACTGTAATGCAAGTATCGTCTCCCGAAACTGTTTAGCCGCATGGCCGCCTGGGCATGTTTGCGTGCCTGGAGTGCCTGGAGTGATAACGGCAAAGGCGATGCCGAAGGCGATGTGTCCAGTTCCTGGCAATGGCCATTGCGCGCAACCAGCGCCGCCGCGGCTGCATTCCACATGTTCTCCACCTCGGCACGCTGCAGCGAGCAACAGGATTGGGCATTTAAAGTGCGCTCCAATTGCTTGTTAAGCAAAGGTCCACCAACTCCGGCGCTACTGCTGCTACAGCTGCTGCTCCCAGCCAATCCATCGGCCCCCATTGCTTGCGGCACGTTGCTTATGTCCAGCGTGGAGCGATATCCAGGCGGCGGCGAGACGCGTTGCAAAAGCAGTTGCTGTTGCTGCAACTGCAGCTGTTGCTCCTCCAGCTGTTGCTGCTGCTGTTGCAACAGTTGCTGCTCGTGCAGCACGACGGCGTCATAGGAGGGCGGCGGCTCATGATGCAGGGCCGGCAAGGTGGCCAGTCCGCCGTCCGTTGAATCGCCCAAAAAGAGACCCGAAGTCTCATAGCACTGGTGAGAAAAGAGCAAAAGGCCTTTATTTTTGAGGTGTTCCCGAACAAAAAGTAAATTAACGCTGCACAAATAAGAAAAGTTTAAATTGTGCACACACACATCATAAATTTATTTATTTATTTAGCACTTCTCCAGTAGCCCATTTTCTCATGCTCCCGTTGACAACTTTAGGTGACATGAACCGAGCTAACGTTGATTTACGCTGCGTCTTTTCCCACAGGGCCAACAAACAACAATAAGCTCTGTGCTTTAATGTAAGTGGCCTGAAAAGCGGCCCAACAACTTATTAAGGCCCATAGCAAAGTAGAGCATAATGTACTGCCAAAGCTAGCCGTAATAATTGCGTCCTGTTGTCTTTGACCCTTGGTCAGATTTATTTATTTATTTATTTGTACCTGTTAAATGCTTTGCGTTAATATTCATTACCGAATCATGTTTTGGATATGGTGCACAAGTTCAAAAGCTGCGGTTCAAAATTATGAACCAAAGTCGTTTTTTTGGTTTATGGAATGCCATTTCTAAGAATAGCTTATCAATTGGCCCCGAAAAAAATATCTAGCTAAATTCAAGTGTTAACCTTATCTCTGGACTTGACAGACCCGAAAAGAAATTAGAAAAAGTCTTGAAAGCAATGTCAGTATTAAAGGTACACATTCAGAGGCAACATCTATAATATCCAGCGCATTAATGGCACAGTTTTCACCTTTATATCCAGTCAATGTGAGTTTTGAAGACTTGTAGATTTTATATTACCTGTTCGACACTATAAATTTCCATATTCGGATCATTCTCCAGCCATTGATGTTGCTGTCTGTAGGCGGCCTCAGTACGCTTTTTAATATTGCGATGACAACAATAGCAAACGACACATAAAATTGTCGTCACCAGGCACAGCATAGACCTACAAAACAATAATGAGATAGACATAAATATCAGATATAAAATACCCTGTTGTGGCTTAAATAAAAACCATTGTACCTCAGCTCTATAACCGTGGAACGAGAAGCCCCGAAAAGTAAATGAATCAAGCCGAATATTTGTACAATATTGATATCTGTAGCTAAATCATTTGAAGAACGACTGTATACTGTACTTATTTTCACAAGTACAATTTCGATAACAATATTTATGTTCAGGTATTTCCTGACAAAATTCGACACTAATTTGGCTTATATTAATTCTGTTGAACAACTTTGCGTAACAATTGTGTTTCAACAAATACATATACATATATAGATACATATATTGTTATTACATTCCGTGTTCGTCCGTGTTCGTCCCGCAACAATATTGGCTTACAAATAGATAAAAAAACGAGAAAGAAGTGCTATCTTCGGCAGACCGAAGATTTAATACCCTTGCAGACCCAACCTTTTCAAAATGCTTATAGTGCTTTGCCCGTATCTAAGAAGCACAGGGAAAATAGTTAATGCCGAGTATGGTTAAGATATCATGAAAAACAAAACAGGTTTCCGTACAAAAACTTAATTTTCGACCGATCGTTCCTATGGCAGCTATATGATATAGTTGTCCGATCTTAATAGGATTTTGCATATATATGGGGAGCGTAGTAAAACTAATAAATACCGAGTTTGGTCAAGATATCTTGAAACACATAAAAATTTTCCATACAAAAACTTAATTTTCGACCGATCTTTCCTATGGCAGCTATATGATATAGTTGTCCGATCTTAATAGGATTTCGCATATATATGGGGAGCGTAGTAAAACTAATAAATACCGAGTTTGGTCAAGATATCTTGAAAAACATAAAAATTTTCCATACAAAAACTTAATTTTCGACCGATCGTTCCTATGGCAGCTATATGATATAGTTGTCCGATCTTAATAGGATTTTGCATATATATGGGGAACGTAGTAAAACTAATAAATACCAAGTTTAGTAAAGATAACTTTATAAACAAAAATGTTTTTCATACAAGAACCTACTTTTCGACCGATCGTTCCTATGGCAGCTATATGATATAGTGATCCGATCCAGCTGGTTTTGACATATGAACTGCGTGCAACAGAAAGAGGGACTTCTGCAAAGTTTCATAAAGATAGCTTTAAAACTGAGAGACTAGTTCGCATAGAAACAGACAGACGGACAGACGGACATGGCTATATCAACTCGGCTGTTGATACTGATCAAGAATATATATACTTTATGGGGTCGGAGATGTCTCCTTCTATGCGTTACACATTTCACGACAAAATTATAATACCCTCTGCAAGGGTATAAAAAAAAAGAACCCGAAAACAAAATGTTATTCAATTCAATTGTTACTCGAGTGCAAATAAATGTTTTTTCTCTTTTTTATACCCTGAACCCATTAAAAATGGGTAAACAGGGTATATTGTATTTGTGCAAATGTATGTAACAGGCAGAAGGATGCATCTCCGACCCCATAAAGTATATATATTCTTGATCAGCAACAATAGCCGAGACGGTCTGTCCGTATGAACGCAAGGATCTCCTAACCTATAAGAGCTAGAGACTGGAAATTTTAGCTGTAGGTCCTCCTAGTCCCCCCGCAGATCGAGTTTGTTGCCGATATTCGATAACTTGCCCCGTTTCCAAGTAATCGATAAAAATCGATATCGAAATCCTGTTTTTTGAACAATTTCGACAAATAATATGAGTTAGAGTTACCAAACTTGACATGTAGCTTCTAGAATAGTATATATATATATCAAGTATCTTTCATTTTATACCTATCGCCTGTCGGAAGAAGAGTGTTCAGGGTATGCCCTAGTCGGGAGCTCCCGACTAGAACCTCTTACTTGTTTTACTGTTACTTTTGTAATTATAGCATGTTGTCGCAAATGCATGTAGGATGGGAGAAGATCGGAAATAAGGCAAATTCATTACGTATACGTAATATGTTATCAACCCAGATAATACAAATATTAGTAGGGCTACTGTGGGGTTGACCAGGGTTGACTAATCTGCCCCTCAAATCTGTTACACGTCACACTAAATCAATGATGTCACTTAATCCACTTTAAATGCAACATAATGCGGCACTTGTCCTTTGTCCTCCGCCTTGTTTTCTGAGTCCCCTGAGTTCCCTGCCACACCTCGCCTCGCCTTCTGCTTGCTTTGCTCATTTTCCGTTGCGCCTCACGCAATTTCTCGCATGTCAACAGTTCATTAATGGCCCCCAAAAGCGTTCGATAACGTGGCGAGTAGCTAAAACTAACAGCCTTTTTTTTATTTATATTTTGTTAAATTTCACTGACATGCAGATAATCGATAAAAATGTAGTTAAAATAAAGTTACGCTGCTCTGCTTGCAGACATGAAAGTTTTTATTGTCACTTTAAGCGTTTATTTTGTACACTCATTTTTTAGGCCACCCAATTCCAGTACTTTCTGTTACAAAAAAAAAATTACTTTTAATAGCTGGCATTACTTTTTTTTTTATCTTAAGAGGGAGAGGCTAACAAAGGGGTCCAATTATGTATATTGTTACTTTGTCAGAGTTAGGCAGAGGAACAGACATTCTAATATTATCCTCTTCAGACTTGCCTGAATTTTCTATGTTATTAATTTGCTGCTAACTCATAAATCATAAGCATAACCATTTTGTGCATGATCTATGGAGCACAGTAACAGTAGCAGCGTTGTGGAATGATGAAATATTATACGCAAAAATGTATAGGATAATGAGAAATTATATATATAAAAATTACCCATTGAATATAATTTAATAATGCTAATATACAGCTTAAACAGTCCATGAAATTACATTTATTTCAAAGTAATTTGATTAAACTTGATTTTAAAAACATAATAGTTGATTCTATAAAGTTAATTTAATTTAGAGATTATTCCAATGATATTTCAAGTTTCATTAGGTCTATCGCTGCCTCTATTTTATTAATTTACAATTATGGGCTTGTCAGTCTGTCAGTTGCATTCGCCTAGGCAAACTTTGCGAATAAGAGAGCTGGAATCGGAGAAGCCAGCCTGTCAGCATCACTCACCCGCCAAGCAGTAGATTCACGCTGCCATTGACAACGTGAGCGTAGCTCTGTGAGCTGCTGCTGCTGCCACCAGTCGCTCCGTGACTGCTGCTGCTGCCGGAGCCGGCGGCGCCATTGAGCAGTGATATTCCGCCGCCAATGCCGCGCTGCTGATTATATAGACCCATGCCGCCATTGTAGTAGGTGGTTATGGAGGAGCTGCTGGCAAGCTCTTGGGACTGTTGCAGCTCTTCCTCGCTGCCGGTTAGAGATGCTGGGCTTATTGTTGATGCTGCTGTTGCTGTTGCTGTCGTTGTCCTTGCAGTTGACATGACTGTTGCATTGTGCTGCTGCTGACCGATTATTGCATAACGTTTCAAAGACATATCCCTACTGGCTTAAGGCTAGACGATTGCATAACAATTAGCCAAGGCGTATTATAGTGCCCATAACAAAAATACACTAACACACGCACACACACACACACAACACACCTGGACAGGCCTTTAATTGAGGCACGCAGTATTACCGTTGCCACACGCTGCAAGCTCTAGACTAAACCAAGGACATCGGGCCCTGCCTACTTAGTTCTATCCTCGTGCACGTAATGTACGTCAGCCTGGCACGCGAACTCTAGAGAGCTGCGATCGATGGCCAAGGTAACTTGGCCACCAACAACAACTTGTACAAGTGTTTCTATTTCTATACTCGCTGATTATTTAGTAACTTTTCGCGTCGCGTCGCGTTCTGTGTGCGTCTTGGCGAATGCGTTGCGCTGTTGCAACTGAGTTCCCGGCTTGACTTGCTGACTAGCTGCCAGGCTGACTTGGCTTATCCTTTTGTTGTGTGCCAACACGAAGTTGTTAGGCAACCGAAAACCGAATCAGCTTCGGCTGCTTGCTTGGCCAACAACCGTTGCTGTTGCTATTGCTGCTGCTGTTGCTATCACTGTGCGCCTGTTACAATTTGTGCCGCCATTTTGCTGTTGCTTTTCAGTCTGCTTTCCCTTTTCAACAGCAATAATGCGAGGCCAAGCACAGCTATTTGTATTGAGCTTCCTTTTTGTGGAACTGTGTTCAGCGTCTACTTTTTTATGTGCATGTGTGCGGTTCCTGCACGTTTCACATCAAATTGAGCGCCAACTGCTTTTGTTGTATGCATGATTGTTGTTGTTGTGGCAACCGTGCATGCCATTTGAACAACACTTGTCGCCAACTGTCGTTTTTCACGGCATGCGACCATAAATAATAACGCGACTCTAAGGCACAGTCGATGCACTGCATATTGAGTATGGGATTCGAGCACTCGGGCGTATGTGCAATATTTGTTAGCAAAACTTATTAATTTTATTTAACTATATGGCTACAATAACTTTCATATTTAAATATACATACTATACCATAAAGCAGGTTTTCAATTAGGGCGCATTTAACCAACGTCAATTTTCACATATTGCGTATACGCCGCATGTGCGCACAATATTCTAATTCTATTCTATGCTTGCACTAATTATCAATTTTATTTAACTATTTGACTACAATAACTTTCATATTTACGTATACATACTATACCATAAAGCAGGTCTTGAATTAGGGCGCATTTAACCAACATCACACATATTACGTATACGCCGCATGTGCGCACAATATTCGAATACCGTACTGTATCGTTGTCCAGCAGCTCAGCTCAACGCTGGCAGGTGGTTCAACAATTTATGTAAATACTTGCACGCCATTTTTTGGGACCAGCCAGCAAAATCTTGAAAGGCTAAAAAATCCGTATGAGTCGTGTTCATAGTAGTTACTTACACCTCGAGAGTCGCGCGCGCTCCTGTTGAGGAGCACGTCCACTAGGACAACATCTGTGGAAAGGATTCACACACTCTTTGTTTCAACTTTTTAGTGCGAACTGCTTCATTTGTGTGGTTTAATTATAGATTTGTGTGGCCTTCTCAAAAAAGAATTACCATTAAAATACATAAGAGCAGTAGCTGTAGTCCTTCAACAGTTGGCAGACAACAACAACACGACTCATTAGAGTGTTCTGTGTATCGCTGTCACACAGATGAGACACTTCCCCACCACAAATTGTCCTCTGCATGATGATGGATAGTTTTCGGCGCTTTTGCTCACTAAGCTCTACACTGCGCACGCGCTGCAGGTAAGCACAGGTATGCTACGTTTGTTGTGACTGAAACTGTGCCACAATTAGATTCACATGCGACATCTAATGAGCAAAACCCTATATTTCGGTTGCATTAACTATGTATGCCTGTTGATTTATTATGCACAGACCATCAAGAATATGTTTATGAATTTACCACGTGCTGTGCAATAAAACGTTTTTTTTTAACCAGCACTCAACTGTATTTGACAGGACACAACAAATTGTAGACTGATGTGGCACGTGTGAGGGCGTCTGCCACATTGACTTACTATATTTGACATGCTGCACAAGTCAATGTTTCATATTCTCAAATGTAGTTCAACTAACATTCAAGTAAGATACACACGCCACAGGGTGTGCTAGTTGAGGCTATATAGAGTCCAGCAATTGCCTACAATATAGCTAAAAGCATTAGTCATCAGTCTGCAGGCTTAAAGGCACAAGGTCTTGTCCCTTAACATGGGTGTGTTCGCATGGTTGTCCTGTGTTTGCATTTGGGGGACTTTAAAGTCGAACCATCAATGTTGCCTTTTTGGTTAATTGTAAATGGCAAATTAACAAACAATGGCATAGGTGTAAAAGACTTGCTGAATATATAAATGTTCTGATTGTAATAGGATATTGTATTAAAGCAGGGAAGCTCGTGTTATCCATTATATAGACAAGGCAAGTAGGATGCATGCTGCAGATTCAGACGATTAAATAATTGTCATCTATACACCATGTCCTATATGTATCCAATCTATCCGTATGGGTATTAAATAAGGAGCAGGCGTTTTGCTATCGTTCGTTAGATTTGTTGAATTTCAATAGCGTTTTCAATCCGTAAAAGCATACATCAAGCCATGCAACAATGGAACAAAGTTTGCAATTCGTAAGACTTTTGGGTATTTTATACATACGCTTTACATTCCTATTATGTGGGTCTCACAAGCTAGCTTCAATTTCTTTCTATTGCGTGTCCAAACAATCTGGCCATGAGTTTTATGTGCCGTAAAATACAAAACAAAACAAGTTTTGCCCTGTTCCCTGTTCGCCTGTTAAGGAGCAAAATAGCAGCAAAATTGGGTTCCTTTGATTTTTATTGATTGTTAAAGCCCAGTTATCGCTTTAGTTTCCATCAACCAAATTACAAACGTTAATTAAAGTTCGCACTTTCGGACGATGACGATGACAAGTAGTTTGTTAAGCCCAATTTTGGTGCTGGCTTTTAGGTATTGTTTTCGTTTGGGTAACTATTTAATTGCTTCGAGCAATATTTGGTTGTCGAGCAGATTTTACTAAGATTTTGTTTCTTTCTTTTTTTTGGGTACATAGCCTACGTTACCTGTTTAAGATGTCATTGGCCGTCTCGCTACGCCGTGCGTTGCTGGTGCTACTCTCAGGAGCGATATTCATACTGACAGTCCTGTATTGGAATCAGGGCGTGATCAAGACACAGGCCTACAGCGAGGCACAGCCGCGGCCACACGTCCAAAGGGATCGTAATATTGATCCCATGTAAGTAGAGTATGTCAGTTATAAGACTTAGTTGTTGAAATGTTTTAACCCCTTTCAGACCGTTGGAAAAGTCATGGACCTATAAATGCGACCATGATAGATGCGTGCGCGTTAATTATCACAAGAACGAAGACAACGCAAAGCGTGTCTCCTTCATCAGCTGCTCAATGACTTGTGGCGACATCAATATTTGGCCACATCCCACTTCCAAGTCGCTGGTCAGTGCTCACACACTGCGCTTCTCCGTGGAGGATGTGCATCTGCGCTTAGATTCACCGCATCGCGATGTGCGCAAACAGCTTAAATTGGCCTTCGATTGGTTTATTAAGGAATTGAGACAAATACAGCGATTGGATTATGCATCGCATACAGATGATATAGCAATGGCAGCAGCAGCATCATCAGTCAGCGAGCCCTCGTCCAGATTGGGGGGGTTACACAAGACAGACTCGGACGTGGCAGAATCCCCCCCACTGGCTGGATCGCTCTTTAGCGCCACTTTTGGATCACATCGTGCTGGCGATTTGGATAGTCTGCAGGTGAAGCTATCAGTGCACGAGTCAGATCAGCTAAACTTTAATCTGGACAATGATGAAAGCTATAAATTAAGCACAACTTGTAAGCACAACTAAGCCATTACACACGACTCCCAACGACTCTTTCATTAACTCCTTCTCTTCCATCAGATGAGCATCGGCGCATATTGGTGCACATCAGTGCGCAAACATTTTTCGGTGCACGTCACGGACTGTCCACGCTGCAGCAGCTCATCTGGTATGACGATGAGGAGCGGCTGCTGCGCACCTATGTTAGCTCGCTGATCAATGATGAGCCCAAGTTTCGTTATCGCGGCCTAATGTTGGATACATCTCGGCATTTCTTCTCCGTGGATGCCATTAAACGCACCATTTCGGCGATGGGCCTGGCCAAGTTAAATCGCTTTCACTGGCATATAACAGATGCGCAAAGTTTCCCATATATTTCACGACACTATCCGGAGCTGGCGGAGCACGGTGCTTACTCGGAGAGCGAAACGTACAGTGAACAGGATGTGCGCGAGGTCACCGAGTTCGCCAAGATTTTTGGCGTACAAGTACTTTTGGAAATCGATGCGCCTGCGCATGCAGGCAATGGCTGGGACTGGGGACCGAAGCGTGGCCTTGGCGAACTGTCGCTGTGCATCAATCAGCAGCCTTGGAGTTTTTATTGTGGCGAACCGCCTTGCGGTCAGCTGAATCCGAAAAATAACCACACCTACCTCATACTGCAGCGCCTGTACGAAGAGTTTCTAAAGCTGACAGGGCCCACGGATATATTTCACCTGGGCGGCGATGAAGTGAATCTCGATTGCTGGGCGCAGTACTTCAATGACACGGATCTACGCGGCCTGTGGTGCGATTTCATGCTACAATCTAATGCCAGACTGAAACTGGCCAATGGCAATGAAGCGCTCAGGCATGTTGTTGTCTGGTCGAGTGCGCTGACAAACACCAAGTGTCTTCCAAACAGTCAATTTGTGGTGCAGGTCTGGGGTGGTAGTACCTGGCAGGAGAACTACGATCTGCTGGACAATGGCTACAATGTTATATTTTCGCATGTGGATGCTTGGTATTTGGATTGCGGCTTTGGCAGCTGGCGTGCAACAGGTGATGCCGCCTGTTCGCCTTATCGCACCTGGCAGAATGTCTACAAGCATCGTCCTTGGGAACGCATGCGTCTCGATACTAAGCGGCGAAAACAGGTAAACTATCTTAAAATATATTTATATGTATATATCAATTATGCTCTCAATTTGTAGGTGCTGGGAGGTGAGGCCTGCCTATGGACAGAGCAAGTGGACGAAAATCAATTGGACAATCGATTGTGGCCTCGTGCGGCAGCGCTGGCCGAACGCCTGTGGTCAGATCCAAATGATGATCATGACTTTGACATTGTGCCACCAGAAGTATTTCGACGTATCTCATTGTTTAGAAATCGCCTGGTTGAGTTGGGCATCAAAGCCGAGGCGCTCTTTCCCAAGTACTGTGTACAGAATCCCGGCGAGTGCATTTGATATTATCTATAAGACAAGAGGCGCAATTCCCGCCCCGCCCCCACTCTGTGCGTTAATTAGTTTATAGTGTAATTGTTATTTTTTTAATTATTACAGTACATTTTAAGCGTTAAGCGTCCACTAAAAACCAATGCAAAAGAAAGCGAAGGCGACTTTTTCAAAGACATTTTGCGACCAAGTGGTTTCCGTAATCACGAATTTCATTTTTGATATAGTTAACTTTTGTTTAATTCTCTCAAGCATACGCACACACACACACACATAAAACACATACGTAAATACCCAAACATTAACATGACTAGAGTCGAGAGAAAGTATTCAGTAAGAGTGACAGTGATAGTTTTAGGTAATATAGGAAATTTATAGATTTCATACACACACATGCACACAACAGGTAAATACTTTAGTTTAGTGAATCAATCTGATGGACAAGATAGACGTATAGTATGTACTTTTGATATTTTTAAAGCTTTATTCGAAGAAAAACATGACATTGTTTTTAGTAGACGTACATAATTATATATTGTATGACAGCAAATTGTTTAATGTTTCGTTTCGTATTAGGATTATTTTTTAAATTACATTATCAGTGATACAAACAATGTGACCTTATGAAAAAATAATTAAATAGGAAGCAAACAAAAAACAAATGAAAATTGAAAAAAATACAACAAAAAACTAGGCTTAATATACACACAAATGTAATCGTAACAACAAATTTTGCACGCATTGGCACGTAACGTTGACAAAAACTAGTAAACTTATAGCTAATTTTTAATAACAATTATAGTAAAGCTGTCCACACAGTGCAACTAATGAACAACTCGATCTGAATTTTCGACTCTATGTGGAATATTGTTTACGAAGCTGCACTGTGAACAGGTCTAATCTTAGTTGACCCAAAAAAAAAATTATGTTTAATTTTATTTTGTACTTAAGAGAGATTTTGCAACTAAATATCAAAAATACGTTAGTTATAAACATTTTCCTGTAACATCAAGTCACTTTCAACAAGAATAAACTTCAAGTCAAGTCTAAGCAATGCAACCATTTTTCTTTATATTTAAAAAGAACGAATGTTTCAAAGTTGGCAAATGAGGTCTTAGCCTAACCTAATCGAGTTACAAAATTGTTGTATTATAAATCACAAAAAACTTTTTGATTGGTATATAGCGGTTATCGTTGCACGAGAACAATTGTAGGTGTATGTTGGTATATTTGTTTTTTCGAGAGAATACATATAAATCAATCAATCAGTTTTGTCTAAACAAAATCGGTTAGATCAATGCTGTGATAGCGTTTTAATGAGCCAACACGTGTGTGCAGCGATGGCCGTAAACATATTACACACTCCTCGGTGCTGTAAGAGATCGAGATGAAAGTGAGAAATTTTGCTTTAGATAAATAAACCCGCGTGTTATTATTTACAAAAGGTACAACTTTAATCTTTTGCTCAATACAATACTTATAAACAAATAAACATACATACATACATATATATAAATATTATTTATAAAAACGTAAATCTCAATGGCGTATACATGTTGTTGCGGTATAATAATATTGATCATTCAAAATGTCCGGCGGGCACAGGACTTGACGAAGTCAGTCTACAATAATGACAAAAGTGTGAAAGTAATAAATTAAATTAAATTAAAGCCAGAAATCAACAAAAAATATCAAAGAAAAACCCGTAGAATATCAAAAATTATTTATTCATGCAGTACTTAGTAAAATTAGTTTAAACGAAAGGTGTGAGAAAGGCGAGGAGAGATGCTACTGAAAGAAGGGAGCATTGCGTATACGCACCGTAGACTTTCAGTACGCGAGCGCTGCGAGTAGTCTTTGGATGCGCGATGTCTGAAATGGAAATTAATTTGGTTAAGCGACAACAGCGAGCCACAACAACAGCAACAACATCCCGAATTAAATGCTTCAATGTATATATGAATTTATGTATTAATACCCATTTCAAAAAAGAGTTTCAGTTTCAGTGTGTTTGACGCACCTACGATTCTTAAGCGAGTTGCCACGATGAATATTTCGACTCTCACGCCATCTAATGAAGCGATGCCGCAGCGTCTGTCGCACCTCCGAGTTCAGAAAGCAATAGAACAGTGCCACAAAGAAGCCCTAAAATGATGAACACAGATCTTAGGAGAAATGTTGTTTGCACCTTTTTTTTTTTACCTGCGTGCTGAGTAAAAAGGCTCGCATTGCCTCAAAGAGATTACGGCTGATGCCCTGCTCGGGTCCAGTTAACACTAGCAAATACGTAATACCAAAGAGCGGTATTAAGACAAGAAGGGCCTTGGAGGCCTTATAATACTGTCGCGTTTCCAATGTGTGCGCCGAGCGCAATTTGGTGATGAGTACCTGCATAGTATAGTAGAGAGTTTAAAAAAATCCTAAACATCTGAAAGTTGAAAAACTCACCCACATAATGCGTATGAGAAATACTAAATTAATTAGAATCGCCAATGAGGCCGGCCCCTTGAATATCCAATCGATGTGAGATTCACGCATCCAGGCACATTCAATTTCCAGCTATGTACATTAATAATTGAGTTATCAACAATCGCAAAAGGCCAAAGGCTGATGACGCACTTACACCATTGAAATGCTCATTCTCCAGATGCGAGGCAAATGCCTTGGCAATGGACCAAATCAAAATGCAGAGCGCCGGACAGCCCCAGCCAATTAATGCATAGATAACAAAGCTTATGTTCTCGCTGGAGAACGTTTGCACCACCAAGGTGTAGAGATAGAGACCTGCAAATAATTTATTTTAAAATTCATATATGGCTAACAGATTTGAGGCTTACCTTCAACAAACATCCAGAAGAAATTAGTCAGGTAAAAGTATTGAAACATAATGACCAGCGTTATGCAGCCAGCCTGACTAGATTCAGTTGTTATCTGAGAGATTATGAAATCAACTGAGATTATGACATAATTATGTATGTTATATTGAAAGATTACTGACCACTTGCAGGAAGAGTGTTAGGATCCACAGAAGCGCTGAGGTGATGTATGTTAGAAATAGATTCGCATGTATTGTATTTCTTAGGCAGCGCAAATCTCTGCAGCAAAGACAAATGAATAGAATAAATTTTGTTGACCCGTGTTCGTTGAACTCACTTAAAGCTTAGGAATATGATAAGCGCCACCACCAAAGTTGCAAAACTTATGAAATAACCGCCGGCATAGATAATGGCCGGCAGATCGACGCTGGCCGAGAAGTCGGGAACAATTGGCACCGAGCCCGATTGCTGATGGCAGCTGCTATAATTGGAGTAATGATTCCACGTACCGTTCGCATGGCAAAAGCGCGTTGCATTCTCTACGGGAAAGGACATAGAGTCTATTCTTTTTATTTGATAATCCCATGCGCTCACCTGTTGTGTCGTAGTGCACGCCCTTGAACTCCTCGAAGCAGGGCAGAATGGCCCAGGTGCTGGCTCTGGTGCGGGGCCAACAGAGCACCGAATCGAACGAGCTGGGACAATACAAGGTCTGCGAACATTACGACAACATTATCATAAAAAAATACAAAAATAACATTTATGCGAACTCATACACAAATAAATACGTATAGAAATAGAAACAAAAGCTAGACGAGTGCTAGTTTTTTGATTGCCTGCCATAAACAGTCAAACATTGATATTAACAACGCATATGACGGAATATATGATTGATAAACAAATTGATTATTATGAAAACAGAAAAAATAAAATAAATGAAATATATATTTTGTGCACTACAAATTGATTATATTTAATTCGATTAAATGAGAAATATTTTGATTGCCAGTATATTAGTTAGTTGCATTTAAAATTAAGCAACAAAAAAAACTAGTCAACGCTTTAATTCAACTCAACTCACCGGCTTGCTACTGCTGCTATATTGGTCTATCACTGTGTGGCCCAAATGTGGGCTGGGGGGGTAAAGGGCATCCTGTAGGTCGGCCTGTTGCTTGCACTGGTCCTCCAGGGTGCGGTTAATGAGTAGAGCACCGCTGTGCGGCTGCTGGCTGCCAATTAGCGCGCTGGCTCTCTGCAGCATCTCTAGCGAGAAGTTGGCAATGGCGTTGGCAATGTTCTCCGCCGAGGCGTCATCGAGGCGTTCCACGAGTGCCTGCAACTCCTCCTCGGCCATAGCGCTAGCCACAAAATTCAATTACCAGCAACTGCTCGATAATTGCTTTAACAATTGATTATTGTGTTGATTTTCCAAACTTCAATCAGCTAACGTATTGAGGTGCTCTGTTGCACATCTGTTGCCGTCTGTCTATCTATAGCCCAGATGAAAGTGCCAACTATATGACGAACTTTTTATAACTATCGCTAAATTGCTATATTCCTTGTTCCTGAACATGAACATGTCAGCAGGACGTCATTTGTGTGTGTGTGTGTGTGTGTGTGTGTGTGAGTGTGGGACACTTTCGTATTCGTGCTGCGCAATTAAACGGGGCTCACTTCAGACAGAAATTGCGCAAATATGTTGATGAGCTGAAAAGTGAAACGACTTCTGGGTGATATCTTTTTATCTGATTAAATCAAGTACTCGACTCGACTTATCCACGCACTATTCATACATATATATAATACATACATACACACATATAAGCATATGTGTATGGGTACACACATCTAGATAGATATGCCGCTGAGTTGTGCTATTTGATTTGTATATACTACATATACTATATAGAACTTATAAAAATCTGTACAAATAATACATGCTTAAATCACGTGGCTCTGTCTGTCTGTATGTGTGCAGATAATATGCAGATAAATAAACAACAATCTTTATGGCCCTCTACACTCTTGGGGCGGGGCTACTGTGACTACTACTACACTCCCGATTACAAAGGGGAATATCTCTAATTGTATACCTTTTCACTAATATGTGTAATCATGACAGTTAGTAACCATAGAATACCTGACCAGCATTACGAATTCTAGTTGTTAGTGAAAAACTGGTTACTCTCTTGTCGGCGTTTTTTGCCTCTTATTAACACATTCGAGATAATCTCCCCTTCATTTAAATTATCTGCAAATTGTGCTACTAATTATAAGTAACATATTATTACACATATTATTACTCTCTATACGAATCTTTGTGTTGCTGCCTTATCTTGGGAACTTATTCACATTTAACTGAATCATGAATACATATACAGAACAAAGCTACAAAAAATATATGACAAATACTAGGTGAATTAAAAAAGTTGCCCACCTAAATGATTTTACATAAAGATGCTACAGGTGGGTAATTATGGGTGTTTCTTCTGTACATTGCCTTTGACATTTATTCAAAAATTGGGGACACACAAAAACAACACAAACGAATAAATAGCAGGCAAGTTTAAGGACATGCTTGACATCTCTATAATTTTTGCGCTGATGTCCTCGACGAGGCACTTGCCAAACGACGCATCTTAATTACCTCATACCCCAAGTCAGTGAACTACAAAAATAAATATATCTATATATATTAAAAATATATTCCAAAAATTACGCAAATGGCAAGCATAATATATGTGAATGTATTTAGTTGGCCGAGGGTCCAGTGCAACAGCCGCAGTCGCATATTGACTTTGATCTTGGCCACATTGACAGACTATGGCCAAAAATAGCAAACAAATTATTTAACTTGGTAGTCATGCATTTCCGGAGAGAGCCGTGCAGTGCAGAACTTGGTACGGTCGGGGGAGCCGGGGGGGAGACGGGTTAACCAATCGGACAAGTGCCACTAAGTGGCGCATGCCGTGCTCAAATATTTGGCGAGCTGCGATTTATTTATGATGCTAAGGGCAAACAAGCGCAATATTTGTACGGGTGCGTTAGATTATGATTTTCGTTTTTGTTGGCTTGTGGTAACCATTCCATTAAAGCAGCTAATTTGGCTGCTAATGCGCACAATTAACAGCTAAAGCTAAATGCAAATAAACAGGCATCGCAGCTGCCTTCAATGTAAATAGAGCAAATATTCTCCTCAGATGCGTTATAATATTATTATTTACCAGCCTGCTGGATGCGTTCGTTAAATGATTCATAAAGTGTCAAAACAAATGAAAATAATAGGTAAACCTTTAATTGGCATTGCACACACATATGGGACCATATATATGTTAACTATATAGTACTGGGCTATTATGATAAAGAAAACGTCAACTCGCTGCTATCACGAGACCCAATCAATTATATGTCTTTCTGAGGCTATTATCGGCCTATGAGCTGCTTATTGGACATGCCATATGCCATTTATGCCAACTCCAGCGTGATAAAAACCAGGTCACACACCAAATTTGATGAATGAATAAAGCCAAGTGGAACCAATTGGAATTGGAATTGGAGCTAGAGATTGTGGACGCAAAACCAGATGCAGTCAGGCCAGATATGATCGATATTTATGGATGCCGGAAAGCAAATAAATAGCTTGTTTGCACGCTGGACAGTCGCCTGCCTGTCCAGCTGCTCGACTGCCTGCCCGATTGCTTGAATGGCTGTTTTCCTGCCCCAACGCAGTCCCCGATTGCCAATTGGCTCGCTGGAGTCGACACACAAAAGCCAAAACAAATTAAAGCCAAACAAAACAAACACACACACACACATTTAGTATTCATGTGCATGTGGCTATATAGCTGTAAGTTTACAAACTAAAGCAAAAATGTTAAGACTCAATAATTGGTGGGCACCACGCGGCGTATGCGCGATTTCCCTCATCAGCAGCAGCATTAAGTATACGTTGAGTTCTTAATTTTTCATCTGTCTTGATTTTTTACAAATATTTAAACACGGCTTAAACTTCAAACAAGTTGCGTTAAGTGTGGTAAGGGAAGTTTTTTTTATCTGAAGCAGAAATTTAATTTGCAATTAATATAAAAATTTCAAAAGAAGCTGCAGGCATGTTGATTGCCTTTTGCCTGAATACCCACGTATCCAATCCGAAGCCAGAAAAAAGAGCCCATAAACAATATGTAATTTCTTAAACAAATTCATGACGTTTACGTTTGTTTTATCTCTGTTTAAATATCTATATACATACGTGGCCTGCAATCTTTTACAGCCACAGCAACGACAACGACTCCTATTTCAGCTAAAAACAATGACTCAGCTTATGGACTTACTATTCAAATCAATTAGCTTAGTGTGGGCGTGGCATGAAAATATTGCGTTTGGCGCTAGGTTCAGCTACCGCATACTATTATTATTATTTGCACTGATTGCTCTTGAGAACAAAGTGGATCTGAAGCTAACGCAGTCGGGAACTGTTTTGCACTCGCACTCAAAAATCCATTTGGCTATCTTTTTTGAACTGTTTTCCTTGCCACTTAAGTGTAATTAAAATTTTCTATTTACCTAACAATTCAAATTCTAGAGCCATAAACAATAGGTTGGTGCTACATATTTCTTGAGATACCCTCTCCCATAAAATGCATTCATGTTTTTTAGAGGACCTCAAATTATTCTCATTTTGGGCGAATTTCGGTTATTTTTAACTATGTTTAGTAACGTTTACTTGTTAATTTAATTCAGATGCCGAAATGTGTGAATTTTCGAGCATGTTCTTAAGAGGGATATAATAAAAAAGATTTTTACATTTCACAGAGATTTCCACACAGACTCAGTACTAACAGGGTAACTCACAGTTGATTTGCCTTAGCCTTACACTTTTTTTTTCTTGGCTTCTCTTTTAATTTTAGATTGTTGTTAATGTTTCTACTCTTTCTATTTTTTATTTAATATTTATTTTCAGTACTGGAGGCGAATGAACGCACTGCAAAATGTTACAATGTTTATCTTTGGTCAACAAAAATAATAAAAATAAAAAAGAGCCAGTGCAATCTCAAGCACGTAGGAGGGCCTCTATATCTGAATATAGTATATTATATACTACATGTATATATTAACATAAGATTATTGAATATGTATTGATGAATTCAGGTTGCCTCATAGATATATATTTTTAATTATATGTGCGCAACCTGCCTAACCGGACATTTTAGGTTCCTCTACTATCCAAATTACATGGGGGGAAACACGAGTCAGGGGGGAAAGAAAGAGCATTTATAGAATTTGGACAGTATTCAGAAAGCTTCAATTTGTTTATGTGATGCGTCTAATCAGACGTTTATTCTTCAATTCAAAAAGTCTCATTGTGTACCAATGTGATCAACTCGCCTGTTTGGGGTCTCGACCTCACTTGGTTAAGAAAAGATCATCATTTTTATAGCTTGTTTATTATCATCGCAATGTGCTAATGCAGAGTGTATTCACAATTAAGGCAATTCTTTTTTTGTATAATTCAAGTGTGAAATCAGTCGAAAAGTCAGAAGTCAGAGAATCATGTCATGGGTGGAACAAATGTTTAATTTACCGTCTCACCTCACATCTACTCGCTTGCGCCAGTGCTGTCAGCTTTAAATGTTTATCGCCTTTATCATTTTTATTACTTAACTCACATATATACACATGTGTACATTTGCTCAAAACTCACGCGTTGCTACTGAACGAACACATTCAACTTTTGATCGCACGCAAGCATACAATATTTTTTATTGCAGATAGCAGAACTAGAAATGTTATTTGCGTATTCAAATACAGCTTAAATTCAATAACATAGCATCATTTCTGAAATCCGGAATAATAGATCCGGAAGTAATAAAATGTTGTGAGATTAGTATAGTAGTAACAGACACTATGTGTTTTTGTTTTGGGTTTTTTTAAAACCGCTTCCGAATATATTTGTATAGAGTTTGCGGAGGCTGCGACGAAATTCACTATCAAGATAATGAAATTAACCGACAATGTCGTACAAAGCTCACGTCTAATAACGGCAACTGACACCGATGAACTGCTGGCATGAGCTTTCGCAGAGCGTTGTCTTGCTTTCGCTGCGGCAGCAAACCCCACACACACACACACACACACACACGAGCACAGTTGCTCTGACGCCGACGCCGACGCCCACAAACAACACAGGATACACAGGCAACAACTTGTGGCTATGGCAACCCGATTAGGTCTGTGAGTGTGTGTGTGTGTGTTTGTGTTAGTGCTGCAAAAAGCTAGAAAGCTTTCGCTTAGCTGAGACCGGCATTTACATGCACTCTCCCTAACTTACAAAGTGAGTATATTGGCTTGTGGCCGTCTGTCTTTTCTTTAAAGTGCAACTAGTTATGACAGAACAAAATAGTTATATATAGATAGATATATGTCTGTTTCTACACACCCCATTTATTAAAACTGTTTAGATTTAATGACAGGCCCACTACCGCTCTCGTTCAAGTACGTAACACTAAGAGCAGAGTATCGAGTACACATTGTTACTACTCAATGCACTTTTGTGAGTGGTTTGTTTCAGCATTTGCATTCAATTGGCATTGAATATGACGATGTCGTTGTCAATAACTGCAATTGACAATCAAAATAAATGGGCCGTTACATACTTTTTGTCGTTTACTTATTACTACGATAACTTATAAGCGCCCTGTGCTAAAACCTTAGCAGCCGGCATATTTTGTTCTAGAATTATATTGCTTACATTATTATTTTAAATATGTCGTTCGCAGTCGTCATTGGCATGGGCATAAATTCTCCTGGTCGGACTATATTTGCCCAAGATCAAAAAAAATGCATTAGTTTTTTACAAAATTCAAATGAAACAAACTATAGATTTAAAAACCAAACCTAATGACGACATCGTTATATTCTTGGTCAAAATTCATACGAAAAACGTACTCTCTATATAGACATAGGTCAACTTTCCCACCCCCATAACTCGGTCAAATCTCATCAGATTTTCATATGGTTTGGCTTTTTGTACATGGTTTGGCCTCTAGATCAATCTGGCATCTAAATCTGACAACATTATTTTTAGTCAAAATTCAAGTGGAAATGGTACTCCCATATATAGACATAGGTCAACTTTCCCACCCCCATAACTCTGTCAAATCTCATCCGATTTTCATAAGGTTTGGCTTTTTGTGCATGATTTGGCCTCTAGATCAATCTGGCATCTAAATCTGACAACATTATTTTAAGTCAAAATTCATGTGAAAATGGTACCCTCAAATATCCTATATAGACATAGGTCAACTTTCCCACCCCCATAACTCTGGCAAATCTCATTCGATTTTCATAAGGTTTGGCTTTTTGTGCATGATTTGGCCTCTAGATCAATCTGGCATCTAAATCTGACAACATTATTTTTAGTCAAAATTCAAGTGAAAATGGTACTCCCAATTATCCTATATAGACATAGGTCAACTTTCCCAGCCCCATAACTCTGGCAAATCTCATCCGATTTTTATAAGGTTTGGCTTTTTGTGCATGATTTGGCCTCTAGATCAATCTGACATCTAAATCTGACAACAATATTTTAAGTCAAAATTCATGTGAAAATGGTACCCTCAAATATCCTATATAGACATAGGTCAACTTTCCCACCCCCATAACTCTGGCAAATCTCATTCGATTTTCATAAGGTTTGGCTTTTTGTGCATGGTTTGGCCTCTAGATCAATCTGGCATCTAAATCTGACAACATTATTTTTAGTCAAAATTCAAGTGAAAATGGTACTCCCAATTATCCTATATAGACATAGGTCAACTTTCCCAGCCCCATAACTCTGGCAAATCTCATCCGATTTTTATAAGGTTTGGCTTTTTGTGCATGATTTGGCCTCTAGATCAATCTGACATCTAAATCTGACAACAATATTTTAAGTCAAAATTCATGTGAAAATGGTACCCTCAAATATTCTATACCCATAACTCTGGCAAATCTCATCCGATTTTTATAAGGTTTGGCTTTTTGTGCATGATTTGGCCTCTAGATCAATCTGACATCTAAATCTGACAACAATATTTTAAGTCAAAATTCATGTGAAAATGGTACCCTCAAATATTCTATATATGTATGTATGTACATAGACATAGGTCAACTTTCCCATAACTCTGGCAAATCTCATCCGATTTTCATAAGGTTTGGCTTTTTGTGCATGGTTTGGCCTCTAGATCAATCTGGCATCTAAATCTGACAACATTATTTTGAGTCAAAATTCAAGTGAAAATGGTACCCTCAAATATCCTATATAGACATAGGTCAACTTTCCCACCCCCATAACTCTGGCAAATCTCATTCGATTTTCATAAGGTTTGGCTTTTTGTGCATGATTTGGCCTCTAGATCAATCTGGCATCTAAATCTGACAACATTAATTTTAGTCAAAATTCAAGTGAAAATGGTACCCTCAATTATCCTATATAGACATAGGTCAACTTTCCCAGCCCCATAACTCTGGCAAATCTCATCCGATTTTTATAAGGTTTGGCTTTTTGTGCATGATTTGGCCTCTAGATCAATCTGGCATCTAAATCTGACAACATTATTTTTAGTCAAAATTCATGTGAAAATCGTACCCTCAAATATCCTATATAGACATAGGTCAACTTTCCCACCCCCATAACTCTGGAAAATCTCATCCGATTTTCATAAGGTTTGGCTTTTTATGCATGGTTTGGCCTCTAGATCAATCTGGCATCTAAATCTGACAACATTATTTTGAGTCAAAATTCAAGTGAAAATGGTACTTCCATTTATCCTATATAGACATAGGTCAACTTTCCCACCCCCATAACTCTGGTTTGGCTTTTTGTGCATGGTTTGGCCTCTAGATCAATCTGGCATCTAAATCTGACAACATTATTTTAAGTCAAAATTCAAGTGAAAATGGTACTCCCAATTATCCTATATAGACATAGGTGAACTTTCCCACCCCCATAACTCTGGCAAATCTCATCCGATGTTGCATAAGGTTTGGCTTTTTGTGCATGGTTTGGCCTCTAGATCAATCTGGCATCTAAATCTGACAACATTATTTTTAGTCAAAATTCAAGTGAAATGGTACTCCTCAAATTCCTATATAGAGCATGGATCAACGTTGTCTCCGACGGCCGGGAGCAGCAGTAGGCGTGCTGGATGCAAATGTAATACGTATTTCATAGGTGTTGTCCTGTGTTGTGCATGTATGTATGTAGGCCTGTAGATCAATCTAGGCATGTAAGTCTGTAGCAAGTATGTATGTATGTATGTATGTATGTATGTATGTATGTATGTATGCTATGTATGTATGTATGTATGTATGTATGTATGTATGTATGTATGTATGTATGTATGTATGTATGTATGTATGTATGTATGTATGTATTATGTATGTATGTATGTCATGTATGTATGTAATGTACGTGTGTACATATATACATATATGTGTATGTATGTGTGTATGTATATATGTATGTACATATTTACTTATATATGTATGTATGTATGTATGTCCGATGTATGTATGTATGTATGTATCATCAGATTTTCATAAGGTTTGGCTTTTTGTGCATGGTCTGGCCTCTAGATCAATCTGGCATCTAAATCTGACAACACTATTTTTAGTCAAAATTCAAGTGAAAATGGTACCCTCAAATATCCTATATAGACATAGGTAATCTTTCCCACCCCCATAACTCTGGAAAATCTAATCGGATTTTCATAAGGTTTGGCTTTTTGTGCATGGTTTGGCCTCTAGATCAATCAGGCATCTAAATCTGACAACATTATTTTTTAGTCAAAATTGAAGTGAAAATGGAACTCCCAATTATCCTATATAGACATAGGTGAACTTTCCCACCCCCATAACTCTGGAAAATCTCATCCGATTTTCATAAGGTTTGGCTTTTTGTGCATGGTTTGGCCCGTAGATCAATCTGGCATCTAAATCTGACAACATTATTTTTAGTCAACATTATCCTATATAGACATAGGTCAACTTTCCCACCCCCATAACTCTGGCAAATCTCATCCGATTTTCATAAGGTTTGGCTTTTTGTGCATGGTTTGGCCTCTAGATCAATCTGGCATCTAAATCTGACAACATTATTTTTAGTCAAAATTCATGTTGAAATGGTACTCGCAATTATCCTATATAGACATAGGTCAACTTTCCCAGCCCCATAACTCTGGCAAATCTCATCCGATTTTCATAAGGTTTGGCTTTTTGTGCATGGTTTGGCCCGTAGATCAATCTGGCATCTAAATCTGACAACATTATTTTTAGTCAAAATTCATGTGGAAATGGTACCCTCAAATATCCTATATAGACATAGGTCAACTTTCCCACCCCCATAACTCTGGCAAATCTCATCCGATTTTCATAAGGTTTGGCTTTTTGTGCATGGTTTGGTCTCTAGATCAATCTGGCATCTAAATCTGACAACATTATTTCTACTCAAAATTCATGTGGAAATGGTACCCTCAAATATCCTATATAGACATAGGTCAACTTTCCCACCCCCATAACTCTGGCAAATCTCATCCGATTTTCATAAGGTTTGGCTTTTTGTGCATGGTTTGGCCTCTAGATCAATCTGGCATCTAAATCTGACAACATTATTTCTACTCAAAATTCATGTGGAAATGGTACCCTCAAATATCCTATATAGACATAGGTCAACTTTCCCACCCCCATAGCTCGATCAAATCTCATCCGATTTTCATAAGGTTTGGCTTTTTGTGCATGGTTTGGCCCGGAGATCAATCTGGCATCTAAATCTGACAACATTATTTTAAGTCAAAATTCAAATTAAATTGATTGCCTCAAATATCCTATATAGACATAGGTCAACTTTCCCTCCCCCATAACTCTGGCAAATCTCATCCGATTTTCATAAGGTTTGGCTTTTTGTACATGGTTTGGCCTCTAGATCAACCTGGCATCTAAATTTGGCAACAATGTTTTTAGTCAAATTGTATAAGTGCAATAAAGTTGTTGTTTTTGACTGTGTATCTTTAGAACCTAAGATAAAGGTATGCAATCTAGTTAAATTTAACCTAGAAGAGCGCACCCCTAAGGTTTAAACTAGTTTATTTATATACCTTTATACATTTGCCAAGTGGACTTTTACATTTAAATGCCATCTGGGCGCCACATTTCACAGCTGCTCAAAAGTGATTGCTGCCGACACCTGAAATCAATAGAAAATTGATGCAAATTTTGTTCAGCTTCGTTGACTCGCACATCGTCCATGTCATGCCCAATAGCCGGTGGCAATCGGCCACAGAAGAATTGCGCAAAGTTCAAATGGAACAGCTGTGGAGCCGGAAAATCCATCTCAAATGCAAACGGCTGATGCACAAACCGTTGCGAGTCATGGCCCAGGCCAAAGAACGTATCATATGCCAGTTGGAGGCCGTTCAGATCCGCTAGTCGCTCCTTCAGAGATGCTGTCGGGGTCTGCAGGACACATTGTAGGGCAGCTTCAAATTTGGAATTTTGACGTATGTGCAAACCCAGTGGAGACTCGTTGCCGGCCACATCGAAGAGTATGCCGTCCTGCTCAAAGGCGTGACTCAGCTCGTGTCCGAGAATAAATCCCATCAGACTGTGTTGAAAAATTGCATGTTGCCGATGATCGTAAAAGGGCCACTGCAAAAAGATCAAAGGCACCGTCAGCGTATTGCGTTCATGCTCAAAGTAAGGCGCATTGCGTGCTTTGAACACATCGTCGTTGACATAGTAGTGATTCAGTTGCAAAGTAGCTCCTGATTGCAGCAAAGCCATGTGCTGAAGACGCGTTCGCAGACGCAAAGCTTGCCATAGATTTTGCTGAAAGTCGGCACGTGAAAATCTGGCACTGGCATAATGTCTATCGTAGAAATCCTCGGTCGCATTCGGCAAATTACCCAGTTTCAGCTGCATGCCCGCCAGTTTGGCGTGCAGATATTCTAACTGCCGTGGACTTAGCTTCAAGCGATTCCAATCCAAGTACTTGCCAAACATACTACGTAAGCTGCCGAAAATATTTTGCAGCTGCCGCGTGTCCAGTGACCGCGTCCTGTACACATAACGATCGTAAATGTAGTTCATGCCCAGCGGCAGCAAAGCGCGCATATGATGTACGCAACTGTGATCCTTTGGAGCACGCCCCCAACTGGGCTGGACTTCTCCAGCAAAATTGGCAAACTGCGCACGCAAATATAGTTCCAAGCTAGTTTTGTTGCAACGCCGCAGCAGCTCGCCCAAGGCTCGTAAGTATGCCACATCACTGACCTCCACACGAAGCTCGGCATCGCTTGGCTCCACTTCGAGCAGTTCTTCAAAGTATATTTGCCAGTCGATTTGAGGTATTTCCTGCTTGAGTCTGCTCAGCGTCCAGGATTCCAATAGCGGCTCTTCTCTGCGATATTTCTCGCACAATTCACGTAGCTCTCTTTCCAGTTGTTGAATCTCAGGCCGAAAAAGTAATATGGGCTGAAAAATATTAATTAATCAATTGAATTTTTATAAAATAATTTTTTTAACTTACCATATAAGTGGCTTGAATAACGGGCATTTTGAGCTGCACTACGAGGCGCAGCGAGTCGTTGTAGGCCACATCCGCCGACTCTTCGAAAAAAACGCCATTCAAACCATATTTGCGTAGCCTAGCCGTTGCACGTATCCATTCGAAGTAGTTGAAGGTTAGTTCCTGAGGCAGTTCGAGCTCATCATGTTCATATTCAGCACAAGCGTTGAAGTAGTCAAACATGTTGTTCAATAGACGTGGTGCTGTCGCCCGCTGAATAAGGCGTTTGTCTCTGAGCACCGAGGCCATGGCATTGGCATAAGTCTCCTCCGCCAACTCGAAGTTGTCCACGTAGTTGAAGGACCAATTTCCACATGCATACGCCCAGAAATTATTACAGGGTGACACACGAGCATCAAGATTTGCATAAATATTTTGCATCGTGGCTGCATTAATATCCACTTGTGATTGGGCCAAAGCTGGCACAATGCACAGCAAGCCCATTAGTAGACTCGACATTTCAGCTGCCCGTCTCATACTGGACTCCAAACTTGTCATTCAACCCATCCAAACCCTCAGCCTTATCAACAAGCTTGCATGAGCTTCAATTGAAGTTTCAGCTCGCGCTTAATGATAGTGTATGCAACAATCAGAGCTGGATTTCAGATTTTAAATACATTGCCCCCAAGATAAGTGAACAACGCCGAAACATTGTGATAAAACAGTTTAATGTAATTGTAAATATATTTATAATCCAACTGTTTTGTTCTTATTGTAAAAACAAATAATTGGATATGGCCAGCTTAAAAAGCTGTGACACTTACCCAACAAAATATTTTCAATTAAACTATAGAAAGTAGAATGATTTATGCTTATTTTTTAAACTTTTGCTTTCTGTCCACTGACTTCTTGGATTTTTTCAACTGTCCCAGCTGTTTGGACTTTTGCTTAAGTTTATTTTGCTTTTTAATTGGCTTGCCCTCCAGCAATGGTAGTTCATCCACATCCACGCGCGGCGCCTGTGAGAGCTTCTTAGTTAGCTTAGATGTTGTCTTGTGCTGCGGCTGCGCCTTGCTGCTTGACTTATGTCCATTTTCTGGAGCCTCCGTTTGCTGTTCTTTTTTCATGCTTTTCTGTTTTTTATTGACGTTCGACGAGGACTCTTGTGAAACAGGCAAATTCTTTTCCTTTGACGTCTGCTCTTTCTTGACCTTGGGCGTATCGGCAGCAACAGGCGACGTTGGCTCTTTCCCTATCTTGTTTGGCATTTTGATGGGCTTCTCAAACACCTTGGCTACATATTTAGTCTTGGCTTTTTCAAGCTTTTTCTTTTTAAGGTCTTGTTCCACATCTGATAGGCTTGGCTTTCCAGCTCGTTTTCCGAGCGTTTTGCGTGGTGCGTCAGGGTCTATTGTCTCCTCCTCCTCGTTATCTGCTGCCGTATTTGACTTTGGCTGATCTGTTGCAATTGCTTCGTCCAGTTGCTTTTCATCCGCTTCCTGCTCCTCTTTGGTTATGGGTATGGTGTTGGAGAACTTTTTCAGCTTGGCCACATAGAAGCCATCCATATTGTTTGTATGTGGATAAAATCGCTTGCTCAAATGTAAGCTTGGGTGATAGCGATGCTGACGGAACTTGGTAAAACCAGGCTCACCAAAATCAATTCCAAGCGGCACCAGCTTAACATTACGCTTTTTAAGAGCGTAATCAATGACCCACTCGTTCTCCTCGGGCAGAACGGAGCAAGTGGAATACACGATATATCCGCCAGTGGCCGATTTTGCATCCACACAATCAATGGCTGTAAGCAAAAGCTTGCGCTGCAAATTATAACAACGTTGCACATCAATTTCCGACTTGGTAGTCTTAACACTCGGATCCTTGGAGACAACGCCGGTGCCGGTGCAGGGCGCATCGAGCAGCACTCGATCAAAGCCCGTCATTATATTTCGGAACTTAGTGGCATCTTCACAGCTGACAACCGCATTCACAATCCCTAAACGATGAAAGTTGGCCACAACGGCCTTGATACGATCCCGATTCGCATCGTTGGCAAAAAGCACACCCGTGTTCTTCATAACGGCAGCTATATGTGAACCTTTGCCGCCTGGTGCAGAGCACATGTCCAACACCCGTTCGTTCTCCTGTGGAGCCAACGCAATTACCGGCAGCATGGACGAGGCACCCTGTACCATATAATGGCCAGCCAGATACTCAGGCGTGGCGCCCAACGGAACCGTTGAGTTAAAAATTACAAGGCCGACGTTTGTCCACTTGCCCAGTGGATCAAGATTAACACCTCGATTTATTAACGCACCAGCGAGGTCACGACGACGTGTCTTTAACGAATTTGTGCGGATGGTCAACGGTCGCGCTATCTGAAACAAAGAACAGACAAAGATATGGATGTAGAATCAACATAGGCTTACAGTTACGTTTTTGATAACCTACCTCTGAAGCCTCTAAATATTCCATCAGATCGCTCAACTTAAATATATCCATTAATTTGGACATGAGAAACTCATTGTAGCTGTAGTACAAGCACAGGTCCTGACGCAGCTGATCTACATACTCGCTGCGTGAGCGACCTTCCTGCCGAAATTTGCCAAAGTCCGAGAGCACCTGGGTGATATCTTTAATGCGCTGCTGTACATCCTGTAACGACAACTCCTTATCAGCGTCTTCACCGGGTTCAGGCAAATGGAACACTTCAGCCTGATCGACGGACATTTGCATTTCCTCATGGGCCAATTTTGCATCCTTGTCCTGACGCTTCTTAAGTTTTTTGTTGGCGCGCTCAATTGGCAGCTTGTCGTCATCGTCATCATCATCATCATCATCATCATCCTCATCCTCATCATCATCATCATCATCATCGTCATCGTCATCATCATCAGTGTCTAATCCCTCATCATTTTCACTGTCTACGTCTTGTTCAGAGTTTCCCTCGTCATCATCAAAAAGATCGTCCAATTTACCAACTTGAGCATCATTATCATCATCGATAGACTCTTCCTCTTCCCCATCTGTTCCTTCATTATCCTCTTCTTCTACTTCCCCATCTGAATCAGCTTCAAATTCATTTTCAGACTCTTGCTCTTCATCCAGAGCTTCCTCATCTGAAGGTTTCTTTATCGTTTTTTGTTGCTTTTTTGGTTTTGGCTTTAGCCAATCCTTGTTATCATCTGTGAAACCATTTGAACCTTTTTTTTTTTGGACTGCCAGTTGTGGCACTTCCTCGTCCGACGCCTCCGCCTCCGCCTGTTGCTTCTCTTCGGGCTCGCTGTCGCTGTTATACTCCTTTTGCCTACGGGGCTGTTGAGCACGTTTCTCCTTCAATTTGGATTTCTGCACTACTTTCTTTTGTTCCCGTTTAGCCACACGTTGTTTTTGACGGTGTGAAAGTCGTTTGTCCTCATCGTCAAGCGGCGCTGCAAATAAACAATTAAGTATTTGCTGAACTGCATTAGTGTAGTTACAATACCAAATGATTTCTTTGGAAACTTGGGTGGCCCCTGTTTGCGGGCTTTACGACCGGGTCCCTTCTTTTCTTTTTCACTATATTCTGCTTTGCGTCCCATATTTCAATCCTTCCAAGTCACGTTTCGCCAACGAAAAAATGTTTTTAAACAATGTGTGCCTCCACGTGCGGTGACTCTGACGGAGTTTCGCAACACTGCTCGGCCACTCTTCGATATTAGGCGGGGTACAATATTAATCGAAATCGAAACTATCGTATCACATGTGAAATTGCAGACATTCTCCCTAGAGCGAAACTTGTTTTGATCTTTATACTTCCAAATGTTCATAGATAATGAATACCACAAGTTGATGTCTGATCATTATATATAAAGCTAGCAAGACAGAAAAATGAAAAAAAAAATAGAAATAAGCAATAACTAAAAAGAAATTGCCAATGCCAATTCTGAAACATGGACCGTCTCAAATTACGTTTGGTCAGTTGCGTATATGCATTTTGCAGCACTGGCTATAATTAGCTAGGCCATCCATTGAAAATTAAACAAAAACATGGAAAATGTAACGAGCTTAGAGCTTTTCGTGTAATACAGGTAAACAGTGATTGCTTCTAAATGGATATCGCCAGCATTGAGCTGAGTGTGGAGGCGCTGATTGGGTCGCTTGTAGCGCTGAGTGTGCTCTTCTTTTTTTGTCGCAGCATTCTAGCGGAAGACGTTGTCATTTGCATATCGGGCAAAACACGTCACAGCTGGAAATCAATAAAAATAATTGAACAGGTACGCACTTACAAAATAAACCAAAAACAACACTATAGACTATCACATTTATCTCTTATAACTGTTCGTAGGCCTGCTTTTGTAATGTGTGTGAGATATTGTTGACGCCATCTGCGGGCCTCTTCTGCGACTGTTGCGGTCTTTGCACGCACTCGGAGCCGACATGTCAGCGGCAGGCGGACGCTCGTTTTCGCTGCAAGGACAAATGGCTGCGAAACGTGAATACAGTGCGTCATTTGTGGGTGCGTGGAAATTTGCCAATGAGCTACATCTGCGCCGAGTGCGGCCAGGAGGCAGAAGTGGATCATCATAGTAGCAGCTCTGGTCCAGGTCTCTATGGCTGGAGATGTGCCTGGTGTCAACGCTGTTATCACGACAACTGTTACAAGAACGTGGATACTAAGGCCGAATGTGATTTCGGCGAGTTTCGGGACATGATATATCCGCCGTACAGTATTGTAGCAGCCAGGACACGCGAATCTGTGCGTTTGCATCTCGCTGGCATCAAGCCGCCTGATGTTGAGAACTGGGAGCCGTTGATAGTAATCGCCAATACAAAATCTGGAAGTAGCACGGGCTCAAATGTCTTGTCGTTGCTGCGTGGCTATTTGCATCCAATGCAGGTCATGGAACTGGGCACACGAGGTCCACAGGATGCGCTGCAGTGGGCGGCCAAAACAAGTCCACGCCCTTGTCGCATACTGGTCGCGGGTGGCGATGGAACGATTGGCTGGGTGCTCAACACCATCTATACGCTGAACATAAAGCCACAACCGTCAGTGGCAATTATTCCACTGGGCACTGGCAACGATTTGTCACGCGTGCTAGGCTGGGGCGCTGAACCGCCCTCTGTTATTGATCCGCTGCAGATACTGCGTAGCGTTAGACGCGCCAGATCTGTAAATCTTGATCGATATGATCTGCAAATTGAGAAGCTGCACTATCGCCTACCTATACAAAGACATCCCACAAAGACCATACACGTCTATAACTATTTTAGTGTGGGCGTGGATGCGTACATTACGTACAACTTCCACAAAACACGAGAATCTCGATTCTATCTGCTCAGCAGTCGCATTTTCAACAAGGTACGCCTCATGAAACCATTTAAATTTGTATATTTTTTATTTATTTAATTATTTCTATGATCTATTTCTCCTACAGTTGCTGTACTTCACGTTTGGTACACAGCAGGTCATGCAGCCGGATTGCGAACGCATTGAACAGAAACTAGAACTTCATCTAGATAATAGGCTAGTCGAACTGCCGGAATTGCAATCTCTGGTATTTCTTAACATTGATTCCTGGGGCGCTGGCTGCAAACTTTGCGAGCTGAGCAATTCTAATGGCGACGTGCGAATTGTAAACTCCATATCTGATGGCATGATGGAAGTGTTTGGCATAGTCTCATCCTTTCATATTGCCCAGCTGCAGTGCAACATAAGCAAGCCCGTGCGCATCGGCCAGGCCAAGCAGATACGGGTTTGTGATCACTGGCATATTTATAAAATATTTACGTTAATTAAATCTCATTGCAGCTGCGAGTGAATGGCACGGTGCCCATGCAGGCGGATGGTGAGCCCTGGATGCAGCCGCCGGCGGAAATACGCTTGCAGGCACGCAGTCAAGCTCGCGTGCTAAAGGCAGAGACACCAACTCCCACCCAGTTGCAGTAGCAACTATTCTAAACTATAAAATGACCCTGTGCCACATGGATGATGTAAACTTGTACTTAACTTAAATCTCTTTCCCATTCAAGCTAACCATAGCTACTTGTTTAAGTGAAACTATAAACCACCCGATCTACACAAATATACCAAACATAAGATGTTAATCCAGATACTATCTGGGATTATTAAATAAGTAAAATGTTTTAGATATTGACTTTTTAAAGCATGTCACTTTATTCTTCTCCTGTTAATTTGTTAAATGTTCGACTGGTGTTTTGACATGCGGAGACGCATGCACATAACATTTGGGATTTGGGTTTGTTTATTTGTATTTTTATCGAAAGGCGGGTAATCAACGAAAGCAACGATGTGTTCCTGCGTGGCCCTTAAAGCATAGTAAGCTCCATAATGGCATTGACGATGTCGTTGCTGTTGTTTTTCAGTGCCTTTATGGCCTTTGCACGCGTCGTATTCGCCTGCGTTATGACCAACTCAATATCCTTTTCGTCGACGCCCGTGTCGTCAACCTCTTCCTCATCTTCTTCTGCAATTGGAGCCACTGAGGTGGTGGCACCTACGCTATCAGCAGCGCCAGCCGCTTCTGGTGCCTTGAACTTCTCGGCGGCAGCCACTTGGGCCTGCTGCGACAAGTCCTCGATCTTGGCCTCACCAAAAACAATATAGGTATCGCTGTGTGGGTTCTTGTACACATCCGGGTTGTTGATGACGAACAAAATGTTTTTCGACTTGCGTATGGTGACTCGATTGACACCCTGAATTTGCTTCAGACCAAGCTTGAGCATGATTTTGCGTGCCTTCTTCTCACCGCGCGACTGCTTTGCCTTGGAGACCACATCGATGGGCAAACCTGTGGCACCGCCGCCCAGCTGTGTGGTGCCTGTGTCAGCCTCCTCCAATTCGGGTATAATATCCGAATCACTCTCGCTGCCATCATCCTCGACGCGCACATCAACATCCTCAGACTGCTTCGCCTCAGCGGAGGTCGAAGGTGCCTCATTTTTGATTTCAGTGAGCTCGGGCATGTTTACCTATCAAAAAACACAATAATAACAATATTAAATTAGAAGTGTAATTTTTCACAAGTAGCCGGCGATGGGGGACATTTTGCCATCGATTTTTCGAGAACTATTTCTCTGCAATAATTGGCACAACTATTGCAATACATGTAAAATATTATAGTTCAAGATAAGCTCTTTTCTATACAATTCTCAGCTAATGCTTTAAAAGCGTGATGTCAGGTTAAATAAATAATCATTTACCTATTAAAAGCGGCTGCACCACGGAATCGCAAAACGTTTTTAGTGAAAAAGAAGTGTTGCCACCTGATACAAAGGTCGAATAGGCATTATAGTGGCAACCACAACTGAAAATTTACATTGTTAAGCATAATCGTAATCGATAACTTACGGCTTAAAGAAAATCGACAGACGAGTGCAAACTGTTAGAGGCTTTTTGCTATAACATTCAGCGCGTTGTTTCTAATTGCCAGCGTGAAGCCGACAGCGCTATTTAAAACAAAATCCACGAAAAAAGGATACAAAAACACTGTTTCAAATACGAGATACCAAAATGTCAATAGATCAAATATAGTTTTATGCATGGGCATACTCAAATCGATTACATAATTACTGTATAAGCTATGCCTCCACATAACAAGTAGACATGTAACTAATAACTGTAATTACTTTCCAATTTCCAATTAAAGCGTATAAACAATTGATATGCCGGTAATAATTACGGCAACAACGTTGGGACGATGGTATAAAGGGTTAAAATGACACAATTATGGAGAGCAGTTGCTGTGGCCATGCAGCAAGGATCCTGTCCACAAATTGTTAAGTGGGCGTGCCCGTTTGCTGGGTAAACATTGGACAGCTCTCGTTATGTTTTGTTGCGGTTAACAGCGAACACATGTTCGACTTCGCAGTTCGCAGAACCAAAACGTAATGATTATTAAATTTGTATTAGCTGAACGATATAATTTAGGGGCTGGCTGGCAGGCACACACACAATGTAACAAGCTTCTGGTAAACTATTTGGTTTTCATCATCATGTAGAAATTGATGCACTCACGTCTCGCTGCAGTTGTAATTGTTTGTGTTTTATTTTGTGCGCATTTTTGAGCACTGCAAACGAGTCGCAGCTATGCGAAGCATTCGCAACAATTTGTCAGTAAATAATTTCGATTTCAGCATCTGTGTCTGGGGGCCACTATAGACGTCTTGGTTGGGCCCCATCCCGGGTGTCAACGGCGCACTGATTTATTTGAGCGCATGATACGCTTCGTTGGATTTCGTTAATTTGTCCGTTTCCCGCAAAGGGGTCTTGCAGCATCGAAACGTATATATATATATTCAATACAATATACAAAATTTCCTTATACAATTCTATGCCATGTATAATTGACACAATGCCAAAAAAAAAACAGCAGCTTTTATCATTATAACAATAATCGCCGACAAGGCGCATAATTATATTTTAATTTATGCCCAATGCAAACTAAAGAAAAACTCAATCTACTCGAATTGCGATTTAAAGCGCTCGTAAAATATTTCAAACACTCAAACGTGACCAAATGCTTTTTAATTGCTGAATACAATATTTTTTTTTCCGATTGCCAAAAATTTGGTCAATTATGGCCAATTTAAGCCACATATGCAAATTGACAACCGTGTGAAGTGTGGCTGGCATAACAATGAGTGTGAGGGCTGAATTGATATATTATGGCCAATTAAGCTACGACCGAAGAAATGCTCTAGGATTCAAGAGCTGGAAAGGCAATTTATGCCACATGGATAACACACTCTCCAAGCGTCTGCTAAAGATAAACTTATATTATATAGTAAGAAAAATACAACAAAATAAACCCAAAGAGGTTCACTTTCTTTTGCTGTGCGAATGACTTTAGTCAAGTTGCTCAAATTCATAGAAATTAATCCGAATATAGTGTATTCATCTATTCATTGAGTAATGCATAACTCTAGGATTTATGCAGGTGTTACTGCTACCTGCACTCACGCTTAAATCGAAATTGCCCGTTAATATGCCACTCGAGAGCCTCGTATGTCATATCATAAACTAAGCTAGGTCCAAGTAGAAGAGCTACGGTAAAATAGTCGAATTATTCTCTTCGCCCGAGTCTGATTACCGCATGACTTGAGCAGAAAGCGATTAGGGAGACGCTTGTGTGTGTGTGTGTGTGTGAAGAACAACCCCAAAACAAATAGAAAACAGACAAGCTCAACCGGTTTGGCAGCAATTATCGTTCAGCCAATCACAGACGGGCAGCACTCAAAGACTGCGCGCCATATTGGCCATTAACAAGGCGGAGCTAGCTCTTTCTCGCTCTCCGACATGCTCGCTCTCGCTTGCTCTCGCGCCCAGGTCGTGTGCGTATGTGAAGTGGTGGTTGTTTTTGTTTGGCAGCATTAGGTGCCCGACTGCATTGGCTTTCATTTGCGCGCAGATCTTTGAACGGTTCACTGCGTCAACGTTGCGCGCACACGTGACGCGTTTTAAAAAGTTTTTAGCAAGTGGCTAAATTATAAGTTGATATGCAAAACGAGCAGACGGCGCTGCTGCCACCGGTGGAGAGCAGCAGCAAGTTGGTCAGCAAACCGTTTCCGAAACCTTTCTCCATTGAGAGTCTAATTGCGAATCAAACACCTGCTGTTGTGCCCTCTGCCAATGTCGAGCTGGATAGGGAGCCGGAATTGGACCGGGAACGGGCTAGTAATCGAGAGCTTAATGCACGTGCTTTGGTGGCCAGCTCTGCGCTGGGTCTGACACAGTTTCCACTTTACAATCCCTGGCTGCATGGCTACTTTGCCCAGAATCACGAGCGGCTCACTCATTTGATTGCCGGCGGCGGCGGCGGCGGTTACCTGGGCGGGCCCTTTGCCGGCAAGGAGCCGCAGCCCCAACTAGCTCACCCACTGCCAGCGCAACCAACGCACGCCTTGGACCTTGGCCTAAGCCTTAGTCCGACAAAGCACAATGATGCCGAGTTGGCGCATCGTCTGCCATTGCCGCATCCGCATCCGCTGGACACCCGTTTCCTGCCGGATCTGGGCTATCGTCGCCTCGCCGAACTCATGAATCAGGATTATGTTCACAATTTAAGCGTGCATGCGCGACTCCAGCACCTGGCCGCAACACGTGCCCAGGACGAGAGTCAACATCAGCCACTGGCATTGGCTTCGACGCAGGAGCCGTCGTCGTCGTCTCAGCAATCATCGCCCTCAAAGTCCCATAGCCCAGCGGAGCCAGCGGTTGACGTGGGCATGGATGAGGACTACGAGTGCAGCGGTGATTCCTGCAGCGACATCAGCCTCACGATGTCGCCGCAAAACTACGGCGCAGAGCTGGACAAAAGTCGGAACGGAGGTGAGTGCACAAATAATAGATCATTTTTATACCCTGCAGAGGGTATTATAATTTTGTCGTGAAATGTGTAACGCATAGAAGGAGACATCTCCGACCCCATAAAATATATATATTCTTGATCAGTATCAACAGACGAGTCGATAAAGCCATGTCCGTCTGTCCGTCTGTCTGTTTCTATGCGAAAAACTTTTTGTTTATCCAAAAATCTTGATCAAACTCGGCATTTATTAGTTGTACCATGCTCCTCGTATATACGCAAAATCCTATTAAGATCAGACCACTATATCATATAGCTGCCAAAGGAACGATCGGTCGAAAAGTAGGTTCTTGTATGAAAAACTTTTTTGTTATTCAAGATATCTTGACCAAACTCGGCAATTATTAGTTTAACTATGCTCCTCGTATATATGCTAAATCCTATCAACATCGGACCACTATATCATATAGCTGCCATAAGAACGATCGGTCGAAAATAAGTTGTATGGAAAACTTTTTGTTTTTTCAAGACATTTTAACCATACTCGGTTAATTAACTGTCATTAACTATTTTCCCTGTGCTTCTTAGATACGGGCAAAGCACTATGAGCATTATGAAAAGGTTGGCTCTGCAAGGGTATTAAATCTTCGGCGTGCCGAAGGTAGCCCTTCCTTCTCGTTATATATTTGACACTGATTTGCCGACACACGTTCATAAGGAACATGATCCTGGCTAAAAGGCCTGCAGATATTTTAACTGATTTTTCAATAAGAGACACCTCTTTTATCTTCAATTGTGAAACCTATCCTTGTTCTATGGCTGTCACTTAGTCATGGACCATAAGCATCATGTTCTCTATAAACCCGAGCGGCTCCTTGCGGTCTGCGTAGTAAAGTGGTTTTGTCATGGTAATTAAAATGACGCAGCCAAGTCATAGGCAAAATTAGCATAAAACGCATTACGACCCAATGTTTGGTGTCAATCAAAACTGCAAAGTTCTCAACTCTTGTTCCGAGAAGAAACAGACTGAGGAGAGAGAGAGAGAGAGAGAAAACAACAATAACATCAAAATGGAGCTGACATTTTGACAAACGTAACGATTTAGTCATTGAAATGGAATAAGGAAAACTTTTAGCAAGCCGCATTTTAATGGGTCCTCAGCCATATCCTTCGGAGCTGTCCTTGCCCATGGAGTCAGTGTCCTTGTGTACAAGTGGAGTTGGGCGAAACGAATTGCGATATAATGTATTCATAACTGAATTTCATGTTTCATGTTGGGGTACGATCTACCCCCATAAATGATGAGGACACACATATAAATCAGTGACAACGCTGGCAATAGGCATATCTGAAGCGTGTAAGTGTTAAAAAAGCGCTTAAGCGTTACCCAAAATAATCAGCCATACCGAAGGGATGGAACGAGCTAACCGACTCGCTCTCATCCTCGCCCTCACCAACATCCCTCACCCTCAATCTCGACTTCTGTCAGCGGAACGTTTAACATTCACACTCTGCTTGGGTCACCATGGAAAGAGACGTCTTGTTGTTGTTCAATTGGGATGGGGGACGTCGGTCGGCCAAGTCAAGTGTGGACACACATGTATCCAGTTATAAATAAATATGTTTGCCACAAGTTATGACACAGCCCATTTACGCCAGAAGCAGAAGTCGCCAGCAGAAGTTGTTAAGGGCTGTTAATATGGGCGAATTCAATGCGAAGGCCAAATACGAGTAGACACAGGATGTTTGGAAACTTAATTATTGTTAACTAGCGCGTATTACCCGGCCTTGCCCGTGGCACGTACATATGTTATAAAATCAACGTTCTCAAAAAGCTTTGAAAATGATTTTAAAACTTATCGGACGGTAAACAAACAATTTTCATAGAAACGTTTTCCACCAATTTACCACTGTTGCGAGTGGAATTTCCCAAATCGCTGAAACACGTATTTATTAAGTTCTTATGTAGAGCTTTGAAAATAAGTTTGAAGCAAATCGGACACAATTTAAAACTTCGCACAAAAAATATTTGAGTCGCATTCCACCCGAAAAAGTTTCGTTTCTGCGAAAAGTGTGAATCACGTCTCAAATGATTTTTCTTATGGATCCATCATTTCCACCTCCATTTCCACCAAGGAGGGATGGATTTTCCAAAAAGTGTGAAACACCCCTCAAATGAATTTGAACAAAGATCTTTGAAAATAAGTTTGGGGCCGATCGGATGGTAAACAAAAAAGTTACATACAATCGTTTTTCGCGATTTTTCCACACTTGCGGGTGGAATTGCCCGCGGAAACCCCGTCTTAACGTGCACCTACATCACATAAGGTAGCTACAGTGAAAATTACAGCTTCCTAGCTCTACACATATTCGTAGAGCTAAAGGATAGATGAGGCTTAGGGGAACTTTCTAGTCAAATTCATAAATAATCTATTCAAGACTTCATTCCGTTCATTCCGTGCGCAGCTTACACAAACTCGGACAGCGAGGATTGCAGTGACGAGGATGGCGGCCAATCGCGACTGGAGGCCGGCGGCAAGGAGTCGCAAAGCGGCAGCAGCAACAGCTCCAAATCGCGACGGCGACGCACGGCGTTCACATCGGAACAGCTGCTCGAGCTGGAACGCGAGTTCCACGCCAAAAAGTATCTCAGCCTAACGGAGCGCAGTCAAATAGCCACAAGTCTGAAATTGAGTGAAGTGCAGGTGCGTTTTTTACGAACTATCCAAAACAAGCTTTAATACCTGTCTCTCTCTCTCACAGGTGAAAATCTGGTTTCAAAATCGTCGAGCCAAATGGAAACGCGTTAAGGCCGGTCTGACGTCGCACGGATTGGGTCGCAATGGCAGTGGAAGTGGCACGAAAATTGTGGTGCCCATACCCGTGCATGTGAATCGGTTTGCGGTGCGCTCCCAGCACCAGCAGCTGGAGAAGATGTGCCTCAGCGGGCCCAAGCCGGATCTGCGCAAGAAGCTATCAACCGAAGCGATTAGCGGCTTTGAGAAGTTCAATGCCAGCGTTGGCCCAGCTTCAGCTTCTTCATCTCTGGGAGTGGGCGTGGGCGTGGCCATGGGCGTTGGTATGCCACCGCCAATTGGCGCACTAGCTCCAAGTCCCGCCGCCGCCGCCGCCTCGCTGGCCCTGGCGCGAAGTATTTATTGATGGAGTTGCACCCAAAAAACATTTTTTGTTAACGCTTTTAGCTGAGTTATCTTTGTACATACGAATGTTCCCCCTCCTCCCCTCCCCGCAATTTGGCTTAAGATTTGTAAATAAACACAATTGAATTCAAGTGAGCCAAGGAATTAGTTTAATGCTGATCATAATTTACAGCTAACCACCACAATAAATTCCTGGCTAAGCGTGTACGCCTACAAAAGCTGACAAAATCAGCTCGCATTGCCCATTTATTTATTTTGGGCCACTCGAGGGACAAACAAGTTACAGTTGGTGTCAATTGGAACAATTAAACTGCCAATTTGGGCAATTCGGTACGGCAACTCGTCGAGCCGTACCCAGTTCTCGGTGTGACTAATTTTTGTAATTTAACGCACCAAATTGTCGCATGAGAGCATCAGAGTTGATGGCGGCGACTCCTCTCCAGGCCACATCCAACAATCACTCCAGGTGTCTCACGTGTCACGCCTCTCAGGAACAGGCACAGGCACAGGAACAGGCGCAGGACCAGGGACGAGAGGGGCGCACACATGGTGAGTTATTAGCCCAAGCGAAAAGGGGCTCTGCTCAGCCCTCCGATACTCTGTGTGTGTGTGTGAATTGTTAATTGCATTAGCGACTTATTGGCCACGACAATTGACTTTTGTTTGCAGAGCTAAAAAAAAAAAAAACTCTCTCTAATTGTGTGTATATGCTAGGCACAAAAGTAACCACCCTGTAAATGCAGGCTTGGCGCAAGGGGAAGCTTGATTCCGGCACCCTTGTATCTCCTTCCTGTCCGCCAGCTCGTATCGTTTGCAGTTTTATGTTGGGACACGCCTCCAAGCATGAGTTTTTATTATTGTAACACTTTGCTAGGCAATTTTGGTGCCGGCTGCGCGAATACGGCTGCTCTTTTCCCTCTGTGTGTGTTGTGTATCTGTATCTGAATCTGAATTGCGGCAAATGAACAAAGTGCCACTGGATGATGATGATTCCTAAAGGAACTGTTTGGTTCGGCTGCGGTGACTGCTGTGTGAGCTGCACAACAAATAACCAAGGCAAATATTGCTCGTAATATTCTGGGATAAACACTTTTCAATTGGACAGCGAGTTGTACAACAGATGTGTAAAATCTGAATGAAATTGTAGCTCATTCAAAGAACGTGTCAGCCGCACCCAGCAAAATGTGTGGCCCAGCAGCAGGGAGAGAGGGGATGCAGGGAGGCAGGGATGTAGGTAGGCAGGCACAGGATCAGGAGCAAAGCTTTTTTTATAAATTAAAACGCCATTAATTACATCCGGATTTATGTCGTGTTGAGCAGTTAAATAGCCATAATGCACCACGTTAAAAATCAGTTTAAAATCATTAAAAACAAGATCTACCGAATGGAAAAACTTGTACTGAACGCACCGCAGTTGTTATACCCTTAAAAAAGGTGTAAGCTAATTTCAACTATAGTAATTGAAAAATTTGTGAACAGTTTTTGTTTAGTTTATCAATAAAATTATTTCACCCTCAATTTAAAATTATACAAACTATAAAAGCGCAACATTTTGCGAATCTCGGCGACAGGAAATCTGTTAGCATAGTCCGGCCAACGCGATAAAAGGGGGTCATAGTTGAATGCAGCAGCTCATAAATCACATGCGAAATGCTCGCTGTCATAATTTGTCATAAGGCGTGGACACGCCCTCCATTTGCCTGCGTCCCTTTTAGTCCATGAAAGAATCGGTTGAGCCCAGTCTGAAACATGTGGCAAGTTTTTCAAACTGAAGTTTTCGTGCAAGATTGTTGCCGACTAGACCCGATGACATATGAAAGAGTCCCGAGTCCGACTTATTAACCGATGTACTTGTCACAGAAATTACTGCACTGTGGCATGCAAAGCTATAGGTGGGCAGGGAAACCAACAATAGACCCGATGCCATATGAAAGAGTCCCGAGTACGACTTATTATCCGATGTACTTGTCACAGAAATTACTGCACTGCGGCATGCAAAGCAATAGGTGGGCAGAGAAACCAACAATCAGCAGAAATCACAATCGCAATCGCAATCAAGAGAAGGGCAAACGAATGGGCCGCCCTCACAATAATACTTATAATCGCATAATAATACTTGTGCCTGCGATCTGTCAATCGCGGCAGTCAGACGCGGTTCCCCTCGCCGATTATATGGTAGGCACCCAGTAGGCTGAGTTGTTGGGGTCTGTCGCGGTCGCCGTTGCCGTTGAAATTCTGTTGAAAACCGAAAAATGCATTCACGCACCTGAATCCCTAATTAGACGACCATCGGAGTCCCCAGACCCGCTCCACGACAAACCCACAGACGACTGGCAGCTACCGGCGGTATTGCATATTTTTCTTTATTCTTTTCTTTTTTTCCACTACTGTCTTGTGCATTAATTAATTACATTTTTATGATATTATTAATTTCCCAACAAATATGAGATTCGAATCCGACTCGGGCTCCGGCTCCGTCTCCGTTTCCTCTCCCGACTCTCTCTCTCTCTTTGCCCAGCAATCCTTATCCCAATTCCCATGGCTTATGGGCACGTACGATGAGCTCGTAATAATAATGAATGTAAATTGCCTCAATGAGCGATTTAATGTCTTAATACATTATTTACAATGCATGTTCATTATTATTGTCTGCACCTTTTTAATGCCACGCCCACACGCCCCACGAACTGACCGACGGTTGACATTTCCACAAACAATTTGAATATAATTACTACTATTTGTTGTTGTTGTTTTTGTAATAATAACAATAAAATAAGCTAGAATGCGCGAGTCAAAGGGCAGGCTATGAGATACTCTGTACCCCACAAAAGCGCTAAGAAATGCGGCTAGAAAGACTTAAGAGTGTTAATTAAATTTAAAAAAATAATTAATTAGAATTTTTAAAATACTAAATATATATTTCCTGATAAAGAATATACAATCATAATTAGCTTAGAAGTACGGCTAGAAAAAGTTAAGGGTGTTAATTAAATTTAAAAAAATAATTAATTAGAATTTTAAAACAATATATACATTTTCTATTTAAGGAATATACAATCATATTATTTGTCGTCTTAGCAACTTTGTTATACCCTATTTGAATAGTTAAAGGGCATGAAAACAAAGAAAGTGCCGACTGCATGTGCCTAGATTAATAATTCAATAATAATCATATAGAAAAGAATTACTGAACTTGGAAAATATTGAAATCACTTCACAGCTGCGGCTATTATTTTTCGGCTTTTGGTCACGAAGGAAGCCATTTGTCAAACTTTGTCAGATATTTCGTGCAGGCTAATTTAATATAAATGTATTTTATTTTGTGACCTAGTCTTGGCTCAAAAATTAAAAGAGCTCCAAAGCAAGTTACACAATAGTAGAACGTGTGGATTATAGAAATGATCGAGTGCATCCAAATTGGTGGCTGTATTTTGTTTTTGTTTTTTGCATAATTGGCATAGCGACATTTATCACACAGAAGTACTTCCGCCCTGCCGCAAAGGTCGCATGATCCTTACCGCATAATAAAGCAAATTTGGCCGTGTGCACGTTTCACCAAAAAACTCGGAATCGGACTGTGTGTGGTCCTGCCCCGGCGAGAGAGATCGTTTAGGATGAGTTACGAGGCCAAGCATCGAATCTACGTGCTCTGTTAAAATGTTTATTGACTGCGGTTACCCGTCCAAAGGACACGTGCACAGACGTCAGATAATTGATAAAACGGCTCAGATAAGATGGGAATTTCAGTTAAGTAATTGATATTCCTGTCGACAGTCAAGTTTTACCGGCTACCCGCTGAGCACTGGGCGCAAAAGCAATCAGCATGTGGATGTGAATGTGGCGACTAAAAACTGACGGACAATTTATGCCACAGCATTCGGAACTGCCAGCACCCCCCCCCCCCCCCCCACAGGAAGGGAAAGAGACAGCAATATATATATATATGATTTTTGGTGAGTTGGCAAAAAAAAAAAACGGGCAAAAATCTGGGAATAATAAAAAAACACGTTTGCAGCACAAAAAGCACATCATTGTCATCTCCTGGCTAGCAATTTGGGGACCGTCTTTTTTGCAACGCCCACCGCCTCACACACACACACGCACACACAGTTGGCTCTCGTCTGTGTCTGTGTCTCTGTGTGTGTGTGTCTGTCTGGACGCGCTCTAGTTCCGCCCACCGGCTTCCGGCCACATAAGTGCCAACTCTCGGTGAGTATCATTTTTTTGCTGTTATAATTTGGACGCTTTCAACGCTGGCTACCAAGCGCTTAATGTACTGCAATGTGACGGAATGGGTGGCGCATGTCCATAATTACAAACCACCCACTGAGCGTGGTGGCCACTTGCCTCCTCTTGCCTCTGCCAGTAAAAAAGTGATGACGTAGATTGTGCCACAACTCAATCGTTTGGCAACGCCCACCGCTCAGCAGGCGGCCAAATTTTGTGGCAATCATTGTCGCGCTACTAAAGTGCTGCCTCTGGCTTGTGGCTGGACAATATAATAATAAAAAAAGAAACACATTTGAGTTCAAGTAAACAAGCACAAGCGCAAAGTACCATTCGAAATTGATACTAAGTAAAATGTTTTTTTTTTTTTTTCAAATTGCAACTGCTTTATTCGGCTTTCTTCTTATGCCGTAGCAGTCAGCTTTGGTAGGTGAGCGTTAGTCTATCGGTAACTCTTAATTGTAAATGCAGCCCGGGGGAGAAAGTAAATTTTCACTTAAAAAGGCGCAAAAATGTACGCAGTCTTAAAATTTATTCCGGTTTATTTGTTCTTACGCGTGTAACTATCTTCGGCTGGACAATATAATAATAAAAATAAAAACACATTTGAGTTCAAGTAAACAAGCACAAGCGCAAAGTACCATTCGAAATTGATGCTAAGTAAAATGTTTTTTTTTTTTCAAATTGCAACTGCTTTATTCGGGTTTCTTCTTATGCCGTAGCAGTCAGCTTTGGTAGGTGAGCGTGTTAGTCTATCGATAACTCTTAATTGTAAATGCAACCCGGGAGAAAGTAAATTTTCACTTAAAAAGGCGCAAAAATGTACGCAGTCTTAAAATTGATTTCGGTTTATTGGTTCTTACGCGTGTAACTATCTTCAGCTATTTTCTTAAGATGTTTAACTGTGGCCTTGTCGTTTTGGTTAACAAGCTTAAAGAGCGCACTATCCTCGCGCTGCAGCAGTTTATGCGGTGGTCCGAATTCGACTATCTTTCCTGCATCTATAACGAGGACGCTGTCATTGTCCATGACTGTGTGAAGGCGGTGTGCAATGGTTAACACTGTGCACTGCGAAAACTTGGTATGTATTGTCTCCTGTATTAGTTTGTCGGTGCTGTAACAATTAAATATGTATATTAATTAAAGCAATTCACCGATGCCCCATGATCTCACTTACTCGGCATCTACATTCGCTGTAGCCTCGTCCATAATGAGTATTCGATTATTACGGAGTATGGCCCGCGCTAAGCAAACCAATTGCCTTTGGCCCATGCTGAAATTTGAGCCGCCATCTTGCATGTGGCAGGAGAGGCCGCCCTCCAAACTCGTAACGTATTTTTTAAGCTTTACATCATCAAGAGCGCCCCAAAGCTGCTCGTCGCTCTTTTCGCCAAACGGATCGAGATTGAAGCGCAAAGTGCCAGAAAACAGTACAGATTCCTGTGGTATAATTGAAATGCGACTACGCAGATCATGCAGGCCCAGTTGGGCAATGTCTTGGCCATCGATTTCGATGAGTCCCTCGTTGACTGCCAGCCGAAACAGGGCTTGTATTATGGAGGATTTTCCAGCACCCGTGCGTCCCACAATTCCAATCTTCTCCATCGGTTGTGTCTCAAAGCTCAAGCCTTTCAGGATTTCGGTATCATCCGGTGCGTAGCGCATGCGTAGCTCACAGAAACGCAAATGTCCCATTTGTGGCCATTCAGCCGAAAGATTCACCGCTTTTGGTGTCTCCAGTGGTGGCTCGGATGGCGTATTGGCATATTCCAGCACACGCTCAACGCTGGTCATTTTATTCTCCAGCTCTGCCGTTTGACGCATACCCCACTGACACATAATCACCAGTGTCATGGATTGGGTGATGGCCAGACCCACATCGCCGCTGTAGAAGCTCTGATTGATAACCAGGAAACTGAATGTAACGGCCAGTATGTAAACTACACAAATTAGATCCGTCCAAAAGGAAAATGCGCGATTGGCACTCGTATAAAGAAATAGCGCAGAGGAGTTGGTATTCTGGTGTCCATGAAAAGTACGCTCCAGCTGTGGCATAGCGTCTAAGGCCCGAATTGTAGTTAAGCCTTGAAACGTTTGATTGGCATGGGAATAAACTGGACTACGAGCTGATAAGAAGATTGAACAAAAGAGTATGGTGTAAGTTGCTGAGGTGATCGAGGCTTATGCCTTGCTTCTTTGACTTACTTAAGCTCTCAATACGTTTGAGGCTGCGACTGGCACCTATGTAAAAGGAACGGCACAGGTACATTAGAACCGCCATTATGGCCGCTGGAATCAGCAGCCAGTAGTTGGCAATAGCCACAATAACCAATACTGCGACCACATCCACAAAAAACTGTAAGAAATTTAGAAAAAACCATTAAAAACCCTTTAATCATATATCCGTTTTTTTTTAGTTTGGACTAACCTGCAGTGAGTCCATCATGGCCTGTGGCAGCGCCACATCCACATTCTCAATGTCGCTGGAAAAACGATTCAGCACCCGTCCCGAGGGATTCGCGTTGAAGAAGAACATGCGGGCACGAATTATCCCATCAAAGAGTTGATTATGTAGTCGAAGTGAAATGCGCAGGCATAGGAGAAAAAATCCAAAAGTGCGCAACAAATATAATGCCAGGGTGCACACCAGGAGCACCGAGTACCAAGTGACCATACGCGAGCGCGTCTCTTCGAATTGCTCGGATGTTTCATATTCTCGATTCTCCTCCCAAGTCGCCCAACGAGATATGAAGATGTCCACCAGCGCTTGCAAAACTCGGGCGATTATAAAGAGCGCGAGCACCAAACACACCAAGAGCGGAGAGCCCAGAGCCCGGAAATAGTCCCTGTAGATGTCATAACCAACGGCGCCTTGTTGCTGCCGCTCCGCGAAGGCGTTGCCGTTGTTTGGCTGCTGATCCACAGCCTTTGCAGGATCCGGGAATAGCTTGGAATTTCTGTCTACTTGGCTAAGCACTCGCTTCACCTGCAACTTATCAGCCTCAATAGCATCGAAGTCTGGTGCTGCATGCTTTTCAATAACATCCCGCAGCTGCGCATAGCTGCCTTGATGTGTTAGACGGCCCGATTCGAGCAGCAATAAATGATCAACTTGCTGCAGCAACTGCACATGATGAGTCACCAATATCCGCAGCTTGTCGGCCAAAAATCGATTGAAGCACTTCTCCATTAGCAGTTTACCCACTTTTGAGTCTACCGCAGCTAGTGGATCATCAAATAAATAAATATCCGCCTGACGGTATACAGCACGCGCCAGACTAATCCTCGCCTTTTGACCGCCGCTTAAGCTGATGCCCCGCTCACCCACAACAGTTGCATCGCCATTGGGCAGCAGCGCCAGGTCACAGTCCAGCTGGCAAGCATGCACCACGGCACGGTAACGCTGCTCATCGTATGGCTCCACAAAGAGTATATTATCACGAATGCTGGCCTGAAAGATCCATGGCTCTTGCGGTGCATAGCTCAACTTGCCGTGCAGCTCTACGCGGCCCTGCATCAGCTCCACTTCGCCCAAAATAACATTCAAGAGGGTACTTTTTCCAGAGCCAACGTTTCCAACAATGCCCACCATTTGCGTCGCTCGCAGCTCAAAGCTGATGCCTTCAATATGCGCGCGGCGCGCTTGCCGAGTGTTTGGCATGTTCCAGCTCGCACTGACATTGCTGAAACGAAGAGACTTCACATCGCTCTCCACGCAATGCAGTCGACCGTCAGAAAGTGGCTTGGCTGATGCCGCAGTGTCTGTGTTGAGTTGCATTATGGGATTGTCACGACAGCTGGAGCAGTCTTTACTCGTCGTGGGTGACTCCTCCTGCTGCAGAAATTCCGTTACACGCCTTGCGCTGACCACAGTCTGTGCCCAGGTGGTGATGGCCAATGGCCAAAAGTGGAGCAATGAATCATTCAAAAGACTGTAGTAAGACGAGAGTATAAACACCTTTTGTGCGGTGACCACGTCTCCGGTGTACACGTAAGCAATGAGACTGAGAAATAGGGACACCTTCGATATCATATTGGTGCACTGCAGCGCTGCGTAGATGCTCATGGAACCGCGTATTTCTTTAACCTCGAGCTTTCGCACGGTGGCTATTAACTTCGCAAAAGATTGCTCCCAGGCATACATTTTAATCACCTGCATGGCGCCTATAATTTCGTTCATTAGCTTGACACGTCGATCTCGCTGTGCCGCCGATCTTGTGCGAAATCGAGCCGCCGCCTTGGCTGCCCAGGCCTGCAACGGAATCAATAGAACAATAAAGGCGATTCCTATCAGAGCCGTCCAGCCAATCTGTGTGTACATAATGTATCCAAAGATGCACGCCTCCACAGGGCCCTTCCAAAGATCGTGAAAGAAATAAAATGTCAAATCGAACTGCGGCAAATCGATGGACATTACTGATATGGCCAACGCGCCCAGTCCATCTCGGCCATTTATTGCCGCCCGCAAACACTTTCGGTATATAAGCCCAGCAAAGGCCACTCGGATACGTGTGCCCACGGCAAATACATAGAACATAAATGGATGGAACACCAGTGAAGTCACTAGCGAGCACAGAACAATGCCCATGGCGTACATGTATGCGCTTTCCTTACTGATACTGGTTTGTCCCTCGGCAAAGTAAGAGATCAAACCGCCCAGAAAAAGTGGCTGAAAGGCGCTGTGTATAAAAAAGAACGTTGAGGATTATCACATCAGAGAAATAGATTAACTCGCAATTTTAAAGCCAATCTCTTTCTGGTAAGTTAACATTATTAAAATTCTCGCACTAGAACATTTTAGAGGAGGGGCGATAAAATTGCTTGATAAATGCAAAGCTACACTCACTGTATAACGATCTCCAACGTTGAGTAGATCACACAGACTGGTACGAATTGGCAGCCGTAAAATGTGAAGATCAGATGTAGCACACTTGGCCTTTTGCTGCGCTGCGATTCACGTGTCCAGGGCTGCTGCAAGTCCTCCGTCAGCTTCTCGCTGTCGAAGGTGGGCAGATTGGCGTATAGCTCGTTGTCTGATAGTTCTTCTCGGCGTCCTTTGCCGAACACATGACGCATCCATCTAAGGTATTAGAATAACGAGTCTTAGTTCTGTCATATCTATTAGACTGAAGCAACGTGCTGTAGAACAGGCAATATACACGGATCCGTTAGTTCACCAATGATTTATTTGAAGCGAGTAACCAAATGATTAAAAACAAACACATGCAAGGGTGTAAATATCTTGCAGACCACCTTATCGAGTCAGACAGAAGATACAGGAGCTTAAGTGGGCTATAGTTGTCAGTCATGACTGAGGTTCGTTTTAAAGTATACATATGTATCAAGCGATCTTATGTTAAACTCACACGAAAAACCACTTTGAAAATATATTTGCCTCTAGAAACGGATTTGTTTCGCGTTTTTGGTTTGCCTGCGTATTCATAGCTCCATTCACGATCTTTTACTACCATCTACGGCTGACAATTTAAAAATGCGCCGTATAGCGCCCATTCCCCAGCTCTTATAACTAATTTTTGTGTGTTTGTTTGAAGTGCCAGCCAGTCCGTCATCAGAACACACTTAAACGTATTTTGCACTTGGCACAACGCAACTTGCTGATAAAAGTGGCGGTCAGTTGGCCAATGGGACTGGCCTGAGGCTTGTGGCTAGTATAGTCAAATGCGTAATCAACAGCAATATAGCGCAGGAAATTGCCGGCCATTTATGCGGCCATTTAGTGCAGATTGCAGCTGAGTTTGTTTTGCTTAAGCGTGCCTTGTAAATTTTCGGGATTTTTAGGTAATTCGGCTTTTTGTCTCAAGTGATAAAAATGATTAGCGATGTTTTTTTTGGGACGCGGGGCAACGCTCTCCGAGGTTGTACAATCTAATCATGGCGAATTTAAATGATATTTCGTTATAAATTTCGTCACAGATAAGTTGCCTACAATAGGTACGATAAATATAGATGAGAACCATTTGTTCAGTCGATGCTAAGCTTTAATAAGACATACACGTGCACAGCCAATGGGCGAGGCAATAAATACAAACAGTGACACAAATGTTGCAGTAGGGCTTAAAATAAGAACAATAGTTTAACACATTCCACAATACGACAAATACAATAAGGACCTAGTTTGGAATTCTAAGGCAGAGTGTGCAGCTCCTCGAGCGTATAAAGCTGATTCGTGCGATCGTAGACCATGCGCATGTGTTGCAACATCTCTGGCAGCTTTTCAATGGCTCGCGGCACATTCGTGTCGTGACAGACGCGCTTGAAGAGCTCGCCGCGCGTGGGTATCGCAAACATTGCCACCTGGGCACCTTTGCGTATAAGGAACGGGTGATGCCGGGCCAGCGTGTCGTTGTATGCTGACTTGCAGATATGGTGCGCCTTTTCGCCATCTGCCACGTCTCGCAGTCGGTTCAAAAACTCGTACACAAACTCTGCAATTGAAAAATATATAAGATAACGATAAGATGTTCTCTTATGGTACTACTACAACTACCTAATCCGCGATGTAGTCGCAATAAGGTGCGACTGCCCGAGACGTAGCCCTTCTGATGCAGCAGGCTGGCGCCCTTTTCATACAGGATCATTGTTTTGATGCTGTCGAAGTGCTTTTCACTTCCGGTGTCCTGCTGTCGATGCTCATAGAGTATATCCAGTTTGGTGCGCACGTCGCTGCTCACGAAGGTGAACACGCTGCCCATTAGCAAAAAAAATCTGGGAAAGCAGAGTTCTCAATTGTTGTGTATTGATGTATCCTGATTAACTTACTTCATGATTTCCTCATATGCCTCCAGATAGTCTTCCATGCGAACATCATCATCATCAATTAGGCTACTTTCAAATAGTTCTGAAACTTTTTCAATATCAAAACAATTTGCTCCACCTGCTGCAGAATCGCGTACAGCTGACATTTTTAATATGTCCTCGTATGGAGTATAGCTCTTATTGTCGTCAATAAAAACAATTAAATGTCAGATATCGGTATCGGTACACAAATATCGATACGATATTTAAGGTTTCCGTGTGTGCTTTTCGAGTTTCGATAGGGGAGTTGTATGTATACGATAGTCGATTTGCGTGGTATTATTTGGCGCATTTAATACATGAAATCCTATCGGTAATTGTCGATATCGATATATAATATCATCTGTTTTAAAAGCAAGTGCGAAATGAATTTGGAAACATCCTCCGAGCTTTTGCTCACAAAAGAGCAACTGCAAAATATATTGGGCGAGCTGACCGCTGGATATATAACGTCGGCAGAGCCACCAATTACAACTACACCAATTCTGCCGCCATTCAAGAAACTTGGTGTACTCGTTGACTTTGATGAAATTGCTGAAGCTAAAGAATCGAAAGTTCCCACATACAAAAGTATCGTAAATGTTAAGACGACACAATCACAGTACTACAGCTGCATCCAATGTCGGCGCCAACTTCCGACTGCACATTTATTAGATCTGCATATCACCGAACAGCACGATTTGTATTTTGCGGCAAGCGTGGAGCGCGGCGATAAGCCTCTGTACGCATGTTACATTGAAGAGTGTACTATGAAATTCTATATGCCAAGTGAGCGTAAGGACCATTGCATCACGCTGCACAAGTTTCCGGTTAACTATCGTTTTGACCAAGAAAAGGCCACTAAATCGAAGAATCGCAAGAAGAAAGATGCGAATGCCATGGATGTGGATGTGGCTGTGGATAGTGTGCCATCATCCAACGAGGGCAAACTTCCTTACATAAAGGCTTTTAGCTTTGGGCATCCTACACAGCGAACTTTCAATACACGCAAGGAACGCGGCTCTGACAAGGCCTTGAACGATGTGCAGGCAATGAAAGAAGCCCTTGAGGACATGGATTAAGCTTTATGTTACCATTTTATTACTCGAAGTTTGCATTATAAGATACTTGTATTAATTAACTTGCGGAAACCTGAAAGATCATTTTGTTTTAATGCTCGACCTGAAAATCGAGAATAAAATTAATTGTTGTGTAGGGTCAGATTTATTCGATTACTTACTTTCCCGTGTTGGCGTTAATGTAGTGGTAAGCAACAACGAGCAGAAAAAGGAATACGCCCAGAACGTTTGAAAAGATGGCCAATTGCACGTCGGTAATCATTTTGATAGTGAACCTCTAAAAAAACATAAAATATTAGTATTTTTTCAGAACGCTGGTGACACGTCATGTGTCAAGAGGCCGGTGGTTTTGCTGATAAATCCACACAAAGTGCAGATAAAATGAATTGCACTACATTTAACACGCGGATTAAGTTAACAATTAGACTCTTGAAACATGACGTTAGACATATATTTACTTTTAGTAAAAACACAAGCCGGTCCTGTTTAGACTTATTAATATAGCCAGAGATGCTAAATAACTATCGATTCATCCAAATCCAGTTTCTGATAAATATGAATTTACGACACTATCGATATAAACAAAACTCCAGTATTAGTATTTTATAATCGAATATGTTACATTTATCTATCGATGTTTAAAAACTTCAGCAACGATAGGAGGAGGTCTAAAAATACCAATGAAAGCCCCGCCAAATTTAAAACAGCTTTATTAATTATAAAATATCTTGATGATTTATTGAACGACTTATACATATTGTGAAATATTCAAGTTTCTTAATTAAAAAACTAGAATGAATTTAATATAATACTTATTAACGATTGGCAGAAAATTGGCCAATCGAGATTTCTATAATCTTAAGGTCACTTTAGTGGTTATAGTCATCAACAACAATCAAGAGCCTGAATGATCGGTTCATACCTAAACGAATATCTCAGACTAATACATTAAGTTGTACATATAAATATGTTTGCCTGCGCTTCGTCCATTAAATTACCATTTTTTGACCACAGTCATGCGGCGACGAGGTAAAATTAAGTGGACACATAAAATGCTAATCATCTAGTAAAATTAAATTAATTTAAAATTGCTTATATATGTATATGTAACTAAAAAGAAACGAAAGCTTTGCTTTGTTTTAACCGTGGCATCAAGTCATACAATTTTGCGGATCCCTGTTTAGCTTATAAATTATGGAATTTGTGTCCTAAACGATTACTAAAACGATTATTGCAATCAATTGTGGGCTAATTTGTCGTCAGAACAACCGATGTACGTGTTTGGCTCAAGTCCTGTGAGCTCCGAGGCAAGTACAATTGCGTGCGAGCTTTCGTGGGAAACAGGTCAGATACGAAGTTGGCCTGAAAGTGAAAAAAAAATAGTTTGGGGTTATTAAAGTTAAGGGTGAAAATATTTAGGGTAGCTCCTAAAAGTATGGTATGGTATCCAAAAGTGTTCCTAGGCACATAAACCAAAGAATATGAAACACAACAAATTTCTATTCATAGAATGATTACTTAAATTGCATGAAAATTGAGATTTTAACGTGTCAGCCCCAGACATAACCTCAATATTCAATGACTCCCATGTGCATGAACATATATCTATGTATATGTGGCTTTACATGTGTGTGAGTTAAAATTCATGTGCATATGTCCGTCAAACCAAATGATGCATAAAATTGCAGCTCTATATACAATATATGTATCTAGCTGCAACATGCAGCTGGTCATTATTACGATTGCGTGCCACATGCCACAGTTTGGCAGGAAGGTGTTGAAAGCGAGTCAATTAGGGGCACGACTTGATAAAACGAATTACGAACTTCTGATATTAGGCATAACGACTTAAAGGAAACGCCAAGTTGTGTATGTCAATTCAAGTTAAGTTTAATCGCTAAGAGTCTTTGCTTTACAATGCTTTAAATCTCTATATCTGGACGAATTCACTGGGTTTTACCATCTTTGCTGAGCCAAGCTGCTTGCAAGTTGAAACAAGCTTTGGGCAAACAATAGCACTAGAAAAAGATGATCAAGTGATGTATGGTAAAGTGTGTGGTAAATATGACAATCAGATATTGAAATTGTGACTTAGTTATAGTTATGGAGTTGAACTTACCACGATCAGGGCACAGGCTGCTCCAATCGCTGAGCCGGCCAGCACATCCGACCAGTGATGCTTGTAGTCGGAGACGCGGCTCAGTGCCGTATACCAGGCGATCATAATGAATAGGAACTGTAGAAAATGGCGCAGCAGCTTCGAGCCATGCCAGATCATGCGGGCTTGCAGGTACAGCTGCAAGTTACAATGAGAAATGAGCAAAAGCCAAAGATTGTAGATGAAAGAGACTTACCGCCACATAGACCATGGTGTAGAAGGTAAAGCTGGAGTGTCCGCTGGGAAACGAGAGGCGCATCTCCTTCAGCATGCGCGCCGACGAGCCAATACCCTCACATTTAAAGTCCGTTATGTATTTCCCTACATTGGTCGCATTATCGCAGTTGGAGCCATCGGGCATCAGAGGCTGGCACACCTGTGAAGAGGAGCAGAGGTACACATATTATAAACTGAGCCGGAAAAAGCGCTGTTCCCTTGTCCCTCCCTTCCTCCCTCTCCCCTGTTTGCAACATGTGCTGCACATTTGCAGGCAACTGCTACACATTTTATGCTCAAATAAATAATGGGGCGTCTCTGTGCTGTTTGTCAGCTGGGGGAGCCATAACAAGACAAGTGCCCCTCTACAAAAGACAACTCTTGCCACCAAAGTTGTTGGCGATACGCGAAAATGCGAGAGCTGCTCAACAAATACACAGATATACATTTGTATATATATACATACATTAGTAGAGTTTGAAAAACCCAACTAAAAAGTTTGCTGGCTTAGATAATGCAGTGCTCTAAGTTTAACTGCGTAAACCTGATTTTTCATAACTATGAAATTGTTTTGATTTGGTTCAGAACTTAATTAAAGTTCGGTTCAGGTTAATGTGGGGCTATTCTTTAGTCAACTGATCCGGATTAACATTTCAGGGTAAAAACTGATGCGGTTCAAACCTTAGTCTATACTTTAATTAAGATAAACTAAACTTTAAAAATTGTAAAATTGTTGCTGATTTCTTAAACGTTCCTCGTCTGCAATTGCAACAATGTGCAGAAGCACTCAAAATGGGTGAAATAAATATTAAAAAGAAAAATAAATATAAATTGTCATTTAAATGCACTTATTAATAGCCTCTTCGTGTGTGTCTCCTGTCACATGTCCTGTTGCATGTGTTGCATATTCAAAATTAATTGGCAGTGTCACGACTTTCCGTAATTGCCATCCGATTAGGCTTACCGCTATGAAATGTGGACGCAGACGGCCAATCGAATACTTGGCTATATCCGTGGTTAGTTGACTGACGGCGGCGCCAAATGCGAATACGCCCATTTTTTTGTAGCACTCGATCAGCCAGTCGGGAATCTCATATGACATGAAGACATAGCGCCGAGACGTTCCCGTTCCCGTTCCCGTTCCATTAGCACTTTCCTTCCGCGAGTGCAGCAGTTCGATGCAGAGGATCTGTGGAAGAGTGAAAAAGGGAAAGGTCGTTTATCAGTGGACATTTCCTTTTAGCACCTCGTCGAGGTGTGTTTTCTTAGGAATAGCTACAATAAATAGGCACGCAAAAGGTATGCAAATAACAAATGTTGCCTTCGACCTCGTTTGCGTGTGTATATATTTGTGATTTGTTTTATTTAGGCTTCGTTGGAATTAGGGCCATCGTTTTATAGCCCAGATGTTGCTCTGGTTTCATTTTCGAAACATGTGGAGTCTCGCAGAGAGATGAGTCTAGTCTCGATCTCTCCCACTACTTGTGGCTGCTGCTCTATTGCATCAGCTTAAAACTGGAGCACATTGAAGAGTTTTCATTTCTAGCTTATCAACAATTGTGTGTGATCTTGAAATGATTGTGCAACAACGCCTCTGGAGACTCAAGACTGGCATATGCTTGACACATTTTTTATGGGTGGGCATTTGGGTGCCAAGAGCTCCTCCATCCCCAATAGCCCGCAGTACGCAGTACGCAATTTAATTCAATTCAATTCCATTTAATTTCCCCCAAAGCCATTTGATTCGTGCTCCCTCTCGTTTGTACTTACCACGCCGACTGGTATCACCAGTCCAATAATGTAGAGCATCCAGTTCCTCACGGTCGAGTCCTTAAAGGGATGCTTTAGCGATTCGTCATCACAGAAGAAGCCGCGCTTATATGGATCCCCAAGCAGAAAGAACAAAAGTATGGGAAAACCAACTGCAAATGGAAAATATACATATAAAGTTTATCAATAAATAGGAATTTAATCGAAAAAAACTCTTGTGTCACAAAACGTAACGCGGCAACGATTTATCAATATGCATTTAGTAGGTCATTGGGACTTGCATTGAGTATTAGTTGGCATTATCTGCCGACTCTCACCCTCTCCCTCCCCCCTTAAAAATATATAAATGACATTGTTGACTTACGATATGTCTAAGCTAATTGATAAGATAACCAATCGACTGCCGAATAAATGTGGGGAGACATCACGACGACCTAACTATTTTGGGGCCCAACAGCTGCATGCAGCAATACGTAGAGAGGGGAGGGGGAGGGGTACGTAGAGAGGGGATTGGGGGGAGTGTATTGTAGAACCTATCAACAAGTTACCCACACATTTTTTCAATTAAAAATGCACTGCCATTAATAATAACCTTACATGCATACAAATAGGGCTAGACAAATGGTCAGCACACATTTTTTGATTGATTGATTGATCAAGCGAGCAAGCGAGCTCATCCATCAAAGAGTGACTCTATCGAAAGTGTCAGTGACACTTGAAATATGTTTGTTTTGAGCACGAAGTCGACGTTGCACTGTGTGCTAATTATACTGCATCGTATATAAGTACGAGTATCTAATTAAAATTAGATTAAGGCCCACAAATGCCACACATCAGCCGGAACAGCACTCGATTGTACAGTTACAGTTAGAGAGAGAGAGAGAGAGTGCCTAATTGCCATTGCAATCGTGCGTATTACCTGCGTGAAAGATGGCCAGCGATGCGCTTAAAATATGGAATGCCAGAGGCCCTTGAATCATTAGCATCAAATCCGAAAGTGAGTCACAATTGGCAAATATTACCCAACTCGGAATACTCCTGCCTCCGACTATTTATAGAGCCAAGTGCTCATTAGCTGGATGACGACGTCGCGCCAGAATCTTATGTAGAGTACTCGATGGCGACGATTGCCCGCAGAGGCGGCAGACGGCGGACTTGGAGTTGGCTATTTAATTTTTTCCACCCAATGCCAGACAAAGGGACACAAGTTGAGTTGGGCAAGTCGGGAATCGGGAATCGGGCATAAAGGTTGACACTGAATGAAAGTGAAGCGGGGCGAGCAGCTGCACTGAGAACAGGTTCGATCTCTAAGACGCGGCAATTGTCTGGAGTCTTAACGATCCTCCATGGGAAAGTTATGCCCAGCCATTGTTGCCAGATTAGAGTCATATTACAGCAGCAAGTGGCCTTT